TTTGTAATGGTGCTGAGGATTGTAATGGCATTGCTAATGTATCCACTAGAGGGTTGGTGTGGACAGGGTCGAATTATTTGTATGCCAATAAAGTGCATTCCTAGAGGCCTTCATCCCTGCCTCCCAAGAGGCCGTCTTGTGTGCTTTCATTACAACTATGGGACCGCAGCAGGCAGAAAGACGTGGCTGATATGTGCACGACCAGCACTCATTGATCCCTGTAACAGACCATAGAAGGCTTTGCAGTGTGGTGATACCCTTGGGTGAGAAGTATTCTTTATCCTAATCTGAGCCCTGTACAATCTGATCCAGCAGCACTGACTCCCATGGGGGTGGCTGTGCTGCTGTCTGCAGTGTGGGGGAACACCCTGCCTCCTCCTCTGAGGGGCTGGAGATGGGACACATAGGACTCTCCATCCTCCAACTGTCCAAGTTCAAGTCTCCATTCCCTGTCGGGTGCGCAAGTGCCTCAACTCCTTAACTGAGACATCTCAATTAACTCAGCTCAGGGGAAAAACAAGCCAGGGGAAAAAGAAAAAGAAAAAAAAACCCCAAGAATCTTAAAGCCATAGAATGAGGCAAGCTACAGAAATCCCTGGGACACACGGAATCAAGTGTCAGGAGCTGAGAGGCCTCCGCTCTGCCAGGCTCGCAAATCTGGTTGTGCGGTTAGAAGCCAGCAGGGAAAATGAGGGCAAGGAAACTTTTATACTCTGGTGTGTGGTTTCTGGAAAGCCCAGAGTGGAATGTTTGCTGAGGGTGACCTATTTGGAACCACACCAGTAGCTTTTGAAATACTACACTCTGGATTTCAGTCGGACACATATTTAGATCCAAGTCCAGGGGAGGAGCGAGGGCACAGAGACAGGAGCTCTGTTCAGGGCTGGAGTTGCTTCTGAGGACCCCTGAGGCCTTTGAGGATCCCCAGGTCTCTGCCCGCAGAGTGGTGGGGTCTGTGCAGCACTTTGGGGTGGGGTTGCAGAAGGCCCATGCACTCCACGGTTCATTAGAAAAGTAAAAAGAGAGCTGGTGTATTTGTCCAGGGCTGGTGTATTTGTCCAAGAGCACCTCTGCACTCTCTCCTTCCCTTCCTCCTCCCCTTTCCTCTCCTTCTTCCTTCCCTTCCTTCTCCTCTTCCTCCTCCCTTTTAAGATATCGGTCACAGGACAAGCATGACTTGAACAAACTTCTTTCTTTGCACTTTGTTCTCTGAGTTGCCTTCTCACTGGGAGGATGGGACATGTGGTCACCAATCCCAGCCTGATGCTCCAGGAGTTCTTCCTGGACTGGCTCACAAACTGTCCTCACCTGAGCATTTAGGAGAGAGACACTTCCAGGCCCACTGCTCAGCATTCAAACCTCCATGTGTGTTAAAACTCTTGGTTAAAAAGGTGAAGTTAAGCCAGGTGAGGTGGCACATGTCTGTAATCTTAATCTCGGCACTCAGGAGGGTGAGGCAGGAGGATCGCCACAAGTTGGCACCCTGCCTGGGGTACACAGTGAGTTCAAGGCCAGTGTGAACTACATGCTGAAGTCCTGGCTCCTTTCTCCTCCCCACTCCTAGACTATTGGGGGCAGATGATGACATGCTAAGCATTACCAAGATGTGTCCTATTGAAGGGGGGGGGATCCTATTTGGGCAACAGTTGCCATGGTCCTGGTGAACCTGGAAACTTTCCATTTCAGAGGGTAATGTCATTAGCAAAGACAAAGGTGCTTCTGTCCCCCTCTCCCCACAACTGCCCACCAGCTCAGCCCACTCTCACTGGTTACCAAGCCTGGGAAATACCTGCAGCTACCTGGGCTAGCAAGTGAGCAGACGGATGGTTATCTCTCTATTCAAGGCACACCCAAAGCTCTCATGGGCTGTCTTACCCTCTCTCTTCCTTGCACAAAAGAATTGTACAAATTAAAGCATGTGTGGTGGCACATATCTGTAATCCCAGCATTCTGTGAAGCAGAGGCAGAAGGATTTCAAGTTTGAGCCCAGTCTGGGCAACTTAGTGAGATTCTGTCTCAAAAAAATTACATAAAGGGCTGGGGATGTAGCTCAGGCCAAGGCCCTGGATTTAATCCCTAGAACCATGTGCACACACAGACAGAACTGCACATATTAATGTGGTCGTATAACATTCAATACATGCACACAGTGTGAACTGTTCGAGTTAGTGTAAGTGTATGTACTGGCTCAGTCATTCATCATGTCTTTGTGGTGAGGATATTCAGCACCTTTTCCTCAGTGTTTTGAAATATGCAGTAACCACCCTTTTCTACTGTCACCCTCCTGAGCAACAGAACACTAGATCTTACTTCTGTCTCACCAAACATCATACCCATTGGACGGTGAGTCCTTCGCTTTTGGATCTGAGGGCCTTATATTGACAATGACATTGACACTGACATAAAGCAATGCATAAAGCATTGCATTTATTTATTGACATAAACCAAAGCATAAAGCTTTGGTTTCTGCAACACTGCATGCTTGGTTTTATATTCTCTACTGATAATGTTGGGTGCTAAGCATTAACGGTTTTTTCTTTTAAAACACACACATAATTTCCACACATTCTTCCAAGCAAACAAACTAGAAGTGAAAATAAAGCCTTGCCAGTTAAAAAGAAGAAAAACCACTCAGGTATTCAAAAAATGAAGCCTGCCTATTTCCTCACAATCCTTAAAGATGTGATAAATGACAGGCGCTTCAAATACTGGCTGACAGGGTCTAGGGGAGAGCTACAGAAATGTAAATGTATGAAGGCTCCACCCACTACTCAACAGCCAATCATGGGCGAGTCTTTGAATTAGGCTGCAGCTGTGCACTGTTGTCATGGGGACATGTGGGGGTGGCATCCCATGATTCCCACAGCCCTTCCCCAGGGTCTGGTTGCTAGACACCTGTGCTCTACCACTGAGCTACCCTGGCTCCACCCTCTTTTTACTCACTCATCTTCTCCTGCAACTCTTTCCACACTCCACCTTCAGGATTTTCATCTTGCAAAACTGAAACTCTACTCATTCAACAACTTCTCCCTCCCCAGCCTCTGGCCACCACCATTTTGTCTCTATGAACTTCACCATAATTGGTACCTCCTCTAAATGGAACTAGCTTATTTTGGTTAACATAAGGTTCTTCAAAGCACTTCCATGCTGCAGCACTTGTCAGAATCTCTTTCCTTTTCAAGGGTGAGTGATACTCCACTGTAAGGACATACCACATTTTATCTCTTCACCCCGGATGGGCACTTGGGTTGGTTCTCCCTTATGGCTACTGCAAATAATAATTCATGGCTTCTTGAATCAGAATCCCAGATTCCTGGGCCACAGCATCTTCAGGACAAGGCCTAAGGATCTGCATTTTAGCCACATTCTAAGATGCACTACCCAAGGTTGGCTTACTGTTGGGTTTTCTATGAGGAGCGGCCCAGGGGCTGCCCTTTCCTTCTTTGTGTGGTCCATTAAATATCTGTCTCCTGAAAGTGGGGCAGGGATTAGACATGGTCTGGCCTTGGCATTGTTTGGCTTTGCCCAGATTTGCTGTCCCCCTTTGGGAAGTGGACTCCAGGCACTCAGGCCTCTGGACCCCTGGGCAGGTGCAGTCTCCTGGTCTGCCAGGGAGCCCACAGTCCAGGCAAAAGACTGGGCACGGGACCTGAATGTCACTCTGGTAGGTGCACACTGTTTGGCACAGGGTTGAAGCTTTTTAAAGGAAGCCTATGCATGTATGCAGATGACACAGGGTCGTTTGAGGGTGAAGGAAAAATCCTGGTGAGTTCAGCCCTGGTACTCTGATCTCAGCACTCTCAGTGGTTCTCGGGTACAGGGAGACTAATTGGCTAGGATAACAGATGCACAGGGGCCCAGAGCTAAACAACAGCAAGGAAAGCAGCGGAATGAGCACCATCCTTGTTTCCTCTCTGTCTCTCCCACCTGCTCCCCGCCCCGCCCCCCCGCTTTTGTCTTTTTCTTTGGTATTTTTCTTTTCCCCTCTTCTCTCCCCTCCCCATTCCCTGTCAACACTTCCTTCTATTTTCCCCTATCTTTGTTGTCTGATGAAATATTAGCTCTTTCAAAGCTATTTGTTTTGTGTTGAGTCTTGAGGAGCACAGCAAACAAAATGCAGGCTTTCTGTGCTGGGCCCACAATGGGACTGGTTTCTGAACTCCTGGCATCAGTGCTGTCTGTGCCCTGACATGGGTGAGAGGTAAAAAGGAATGCTGAAGTCTGTTTCAGAGTTCATGCCTCTGCAGTCAGAGTTTTGACAACTAGTTGTTGGAGTAATTTCCAAGAATAAGACCCTACTGCCTGCCATCTCCTGCTCGATCACATATCCAGTGCAGCCTGCAGGCTCCTGGTAAAACAGCCCCACTCTGTACATGAGGGCCGCACTAAGCAGGAGATCCACAGCCAGGTCTGTGACAGCACACTGTAGCAGGACAGGAAAGAGGAGATAATGCAGAAAGCAAGGTCATGGGCTGGGGGTGGTGGTGGTGTATGCTTGTGATCCCCACTCAGGAGGCTGAGGCAGGAGGGTCACTGTGAGTTTGAGGCCAGTGTGGGCTACACAGTGAGTTCAAGGACAGTTGGAACTACATAGAGAGATCCTATCTCAAAAAAAGAACCCCCCAAAAAACAAAGCAAAAAAAGCAAGGTTATGATTTCCATATCACTGTGAAGTGTGGCAGTGTGTAGGCTGAGCCTGTTTTTTTATTAGCTGTAAGCTGTTTCTCACAGTACAGTTGTTTCATCAGCTTGAAAATAAACGAATCACATGCAGTTCAGGGGGGCTGTGGGCACCGGCAGAAACAGGTGTGGGAATGTGTTCCTCCTGAGTGGGAGTGCATCGAGGTTCACGAAAACACATTTGGGAGCAGGAAAATCCAAGTGCAAATATGAAAAGCACACATTCTCCCTCCTCCTCTTCCCCTGCGATTCTTGGGTCCCCAAGTACACGTTTGCATGATAAAAGGCACTGTCTCAATTATAGAACAATTAAAGCTTACCATTGTTGTAAGAGCGAAAATTTCCTACAAATTTTATGTATTCATAAGTTGGAAATTCCTTTGGGTTCAAGCTGCCTCTGAGAAGATGGCAATAAAACTCTAAATCGTTGTCAGCTGGGCCGTTAAAGGAAGAAGGGGAGAGAAAGGAAGATGAACATTACCCAGATTGTAGACTAAACAAGTCTCTCCCTGCAGACCCTGGCGGGACTGAGCCCAGGCCTGGCCCACATATTTCTCTCATTATGACTGACTTCCGAACTTGGCTTCTAACCTTTGGAGCATGGTTTTTTTTTTTCCATAACTCATTCATATTCTGCATTCTATACTTGGACCCAATTAGTCTTAATTTGCTCACAGATGTCTGCGGTGGGTTATGTCAGCATTGATTAGTTCCAGTTGTTTCATACGGTATATTAAAATAAAGCTGCTCATATAGAGCCACTCTCTTTAATTTAATCTTTTTGCTTTTCTTTGAAGTCAAATCAGATGCACAACAGGGCAAATTATTCATGGAAAACAGACTGAGGCCTGAAAAAAGCCAAGCATCCTTGCTACTGCATGCAGCTCTATATGCTTCATTAAGTGACACAGTTCACCACCACCACCATGGCTGCCTTCTAGCCAGGCTGCCAAATATTTTGTTAGAAACTTTAAGGGTCCATAGAAATGCAAATGAAAATAAATAACCAGAAGACAGCCTCAGGAAGACAGAATTTGAATTTTTTGACCTAATTATTCAATCGTCAGTCGGTTACTTGGATTATACAAACAGAATTTTAGTGTCCCCTCATTGTGTAGTACTAAAAGACTCTCATGTAAAAAAAAAAAAATCTCTTGTCATACATGCAAAACAAGTTATTATCCTTAAGCTCTGTGCTTTCAAATTTTCCAAATAAAAGCTGAATGTCTTACGTATTCCAAACTCCAGTTTTAGCTCTAAACTTAAAATATAGCTTGAAGGATGTTGGAAATGTTCTGAGTCATGAGGAAAATTAGTCCTCCCTTCTTAATTCATTCTAACTTTGTTTCAAAAAGTAAAATTCTTATCTTTTTAGATCTGGTAAACCCAGTAATGTGCAACTTACATTTTAGGAATTCTGGGGAGGGGGAATCCGTCAGAAGCATATGAGAAGAAAGCATTTTATAAACTTCGGAATGTTCTTGTTCTGGGAGGAAATTTAATAAGTTCTGATCCATGACATCTGACTGCAAAAGAAAATAAAGAACAAAAGTGCACACTCCATGAAAATGATCAATGAAAGTGAGGGCAAAAACCAGATGCTCTTGACAGTTCAGAATTGGTTTCTGAAACAGAGAGTCCAAGATCCTATTCTCTGTGAAGAGAATCTTGAATCACAGTCTTAAAAGGTTTTCTTTTTTTAAAAAAAATTAATTTTATTGGTACATTTTAGGTATACAATATAACAACAAGTCTAAAAGGTTTTCCAGGGGCTGCTGTGGCTGTGGCTCAGTGGCAGAGCACTTTCGTAGCACGCATGAAGCCCTGGGTCCCATCCCCAGCACCATGAAATAAATCAACGAAAGTACAAATAAAAGGTTTTAGAGTTGTCCCCGGTGTCCTAGGGACCTCCTGTGGGTAATGAAGTCCATGGATGTGCAAGTCTCATAAAAAGATGGTGTAGCATTTGCTTGGAAGCCACACACATCCACTTATATACTTCAAATTAGAATCCTCAATACAGTGTTGTTACACTTTATTGTTTAAGGAATAATGACAAGAATAAAGTTTGTACATGTTCAGCACAGACACAATTTTTTTCAAACATTTTCAGTCTGTAGTTGGATGAATCCTGGGGTGGGGAACTGGGGAACTTGCTCAACTGCTTTAAGGAACTCAGGGCCCGGTCTGACAGGCACATAGACACAGAGTCTCCACTTGCTGGAGAAGCCTTATCTACCCACGCTCTGCATTCACGCTGGGCAGAGCGGGTGATGCGTGTGCCGCCCCACAGCCTCCAATGGCTCATTTAAACTGGGCCAAGCCCGATGGGTCCCTTCCTTGACGTTTAGGCTGGCACAGACCATCTATTGACTTCTTAAAGGTCACTCATGGATGGAGTTGCCCTTTTCTTCTCAATGCCTAGGCACCAGAATACAAAATAAATGAAAGACAGAGGCTGGATACAGCTTTGTCCAATAACACCACCCAGGAAGAGGGAAATGGACTTGAATTTGCATGATTATGGGAGCTTCCAGCCACGTGGTAGCCCAGGAACTGAAGTTTCAATTTCACTTCATTTTTCATTGAAATCTGAATAGCCATGTGTGGCTGGTGTTGACCACACTGGAGAGAGCAGGGAGGAGCTCACCATGGAGAGAAGAGACAGGCACATTGCTCCCTGCCTCAGTTTCCCTCAGTAAACACATGCACTCCCACAGCTTCAAATGCCACCTATGTACACCCGGATTCTTAGGCTCAACCTTTCAGCTGGCACTCAGAGTCACACATGTCTGCCAGGTTCTCCTTCGGTCCCAACCGCACCCTCTGCAGGGAAGTGGTCACCTGACCACCCTCCAGACTGCACACCGAGCAGCACCTTTGGCTCCTCCCTTTTGTGTCTGAACCACTGTACCCCATGGTGTGCATGTGGTGCTGGCGTCCCCCCTCCAACGCTCCCCCCTCCATCCAGTCTATTTCCAGGGCTTCTGCCTTGGCCTGGACCACATCACATCACCTCTTACCGGGATGATCTGCCCACGCTGGGCCCCTCTGTTGCCACACTCTCCCGAGCTGCGCAGTCACTGCTGGCCCCTGCGCCTGCGAGGGCAGCCGCTCTGCCAGGACAGCAGCAGCCTGGGTGTCAGAGTGTGGCCCGGTCACTGTGAAGTGATGTTTAGAAACCGCTGAGTGTCACTGCCTGCAGTGAACAGCACACAGCAAAGCCCTGGATAAATGCAGGGGCTTTGAGCGAGCACTTCCTGGATGACGCAGAGGTGACTCTCCTTCGCTGGCCTCTTCTTTTCCTTTTTTGCCATACTGAGGATTGAACCCAGGGTCTTCGTGCTGAGCTTTATCCCCAGCCCTTTTTATGTTTTTAAATTTTGACGCAGGGTTTCACCAACTTGCTAATTTGCCCAGGCTGAGCTCAAACTTGTAATCCTCCTGACTCAGCATCTCAGAGTGCTGGAGTTGCAGGCATGCACCACCAGGCCTGGCTTTGCAGTGGCATTTTCTTGTTCATGGAGGAGCCGACTTGTTTCTGTCTCCCTCTTACCCACAGGAGCTCCTGAGCCTTGCTCATTTGGTATTCCTGACATTGTCAGAACGTTCCTGGCCTTCAACACAAAGGCAGTAACCAGCCGAGAAAGGTGTGGCCAGCAAACAAGGTAGAGCACAGAGAATACTGAGGTGCTGCATTGACTCTTGGCTGGGGTGAAGGCTCCCAGGGAATGATTCCCAGAGGGAGGGATCCTTGAGTAGGGTCTGGGGGTCATGGTGCTCCAGGCAGGTGGAGGCCACTCAGTATCACGCATGTGTGTGCGTGCGTGTGTGTGTGTGTGTGTGTGTGTGTGTGTAGAAGCCACAGAAGAGGAAGTGTAGAGAGAAGTGGGGCCCAGATGTAGGGGACCCAGGAAGTCTGTTGAACCAGGAGTCTGTTGTAGGGCCTTGAGGCAGGAAGGGGCAGCAGGGCAGACGTCCTGGCTTCACATGGACTAGCTGTGACACTTCCACTCTATGACAGTGCAAAAGCAATGCACATTCAGTAGAAAATGCACTCAGAGTTTTGAGTTGGGGCCTTTTCCTGGCCTGGTGATACGTGACCCAATCCTCTCCAGAGACACTGAGTGCTGACACTGAACCAGAGCTCCAAGTTGGGTCCAGGGATCACGAAGGGACACAACTGACACTCCGGGGTGCTATGCTGCTCAGCTAAGGTGTCCCGCCACTTAGGTGGGTGCTAGGCATTTTGGACCTAGTACAGTTACAACTCTCAGGTTCACTGGCACAGCAGCCACTGTAAGCAGAGGAGCAGCTATCATTGGGTTTTAAGGTGATTCCACTGTGGTCTGATGGGCGGGGCAGAAGAAGCCAGGCTAGAGATAGGCAGAGTGTGAACAAGACAGCCAGGGCAGGGTGGAGAGAGGACAGTTACAGTTTCTATCTAGATGTCCCCCAAAGCCTCATGTACCCCTAAGTAGAACTCCTGGGAGGTGACTGCATTGTGGGGGTGTAAAGCTGATTTGCTGTTGGGAAATGGGGTCTGGTTGGAAGCGGTAGCCTCCCGGGGCATGGCCTGGAAGGGTTCACCTCCCTCCCTGCTCCTCCCTTCTCTCCCTGCTTCCTGCCACCATGCCACAAGCAGCTTCTCTTCCACCATCCTCTTCTGCCATGCCACCCTGCCTTGGAGCCCGCTGACCATGGACTGAACCTCTACAAACTATGAGCTGAAATAAGCCTCTCCTCCTTTTTGTTGTGGGTGTCAGGTATTTTGTCCCAGAAACAAGAAAATGACTAAGACAAGGATGGAGCCCAAAGCACTCATTCATTGCCGAACTCCAACCAGTACCACTCAGGGCTCTGAGGTGCCAGGGGCTGTTTGGGCACCACAGAGCGGCAAAGGCCCTGCGCCCCTGGCCTCAGCATCTTAGTGGGTGAGGACTTGGACACAGCAGGCAGTGACTTAGATGGGTGGCTCCAGTTTTATCTCCATGGACAACAACTCTATCAATCCTCCACAAGTCCATACCTGCTTCTTCACCTTGCTTCTGAGTTCTTGATTTTATTTTAAGCCCATTCCCTCTAGCTTTTATAGCAGATTACTAATGTTCATGGATGACAGTCTTTCTTCTTAAAGAGATTTCAGACACGTTCGAATGATAAGTCACCCTACGGTCTTTTCTTGCAGGGCTCCATCTAAGGCTGCTCCCCCAGAGGTGCACCAGGGGCTGAGACTGGGGGCATGGTGGCTCTTGGGTGCAGCCATGGGCAGGTGGGTTAATCCACAAGGCCCAGAACTGTGCTTGGCTCTGGGATGACTATTATGGCACTTCTGGGTGCTGAAAACTGCCATAAACAGTGACAAGTCGACAATTTAAATCCTAGTGCTGATCAGCAGGTATATTGCATCAGCAGCTGAACTGTTCCTTGAATGAGCTGCGCTCTGTTGATTAAAATAATAGCAATTATGGGCATGGGGGAGGGGTGGTGTCACCTGTAGCAGCTGAGTCACTTTATCAGAAGCCTCCTTACCTGTCAGGCACAGGAGGTGGCTCTCTCTCCCCACCTGCCCCAGGCTGCAGTACCCAGGAGCCAGCCCTTTGCTGAGCTGGTGTAGGAAGCTTGGCCTTCGTTCTGTACCCATCCCTCCCACGTTTCCCCTGTGTGGAGCCTCGGGACCCCGGGTAGGAGCTGTCACTGCAGCAGGACTGGAAGATTCTGCCCCTTGAACCAGTGGCACCAGTTCAAGGGCACCAGCAGGTAAAGGTGGCCTATAACAGAAGCACATGGAAGGCCAGGTGCAATGGTGTACGGCTGTAACCCCAGCACTCTGGGAAGCTGAGGCAGGAGGATCACAAGTTGGGAGCTCAACCTAGGCAATTTAGAGAGACCCTATCACAACATAAAAAATTAAAAAAAGGGCTGGAGATGCAGCTCAGAGAGAAGATCAATTCTCAGTACCACACACACACACACACACACACACACACACACAAAAGGGCACACAGAAACACAGAAGCAAGGCGTCTGTCCTGGAATATCCTGGACCATGTTTGAGGGGCTCTAGCAGGGACATTTATAACATCCATCGGGAAACAACAGATGGACTGCAGCAGCACTTTCCAAGGTTCCCTCTGGAATGGGTGCAGGGACTGTAGTGCACTCCTGCAGTGGAATACAGGAGGACCGCACTGATGAAAACCTGGGACAGTGGCACAGAGTGGTGGGAGGCGCCGAATCTCACCAACAGCTGAGCACAAGGAGCAGTCACAAGTGTCTGTCTCCATTATGGAGGAGAACTTTCGTGATGCTAGGCAAAAGACAATGCAGGGTAAGCATCCCTAAAGCTAAAACCCACCATCCACAGCTTTGGGAGGCTGGTGTGATGCTACAGGGAGAAAATTCCACAGCAAGAAACTTTCATGCACAAAATTCTCAAATATATTATACAAAGTTACCTTCAGGCTGTGTGTAAGGTGTATAGGAAACATAAATACATTTTGTGTTTCAACAGAATGCTCATTATGCAAATATTTAAGTATATGCAAATATTTAAGTATATGCAAATATATGCAAGCAAGCCAATATCTGAAAAATCCTAAATCCAAAACACTTCTGGTTCAAACCATTTTGGATAAAGGATACTTAAACCTCTCCTAAATTATAGCTTAGTGATGAATTCAAAGGTGGTAAAACTACAAAGACAAACAATTTCAGAAGCCAGGAAAATAGATCACCTCTGTTGGTGGTGAGGGGTGGAGGTACAGCTTCTATGGCCTCACCTCTGTTTTTTTTGTGCCCTGGGGTTTGAACGTAGGGCCTTTCTATGCCCCTTGAGTATATTCCCAGTCCTTTCTAATTTTGAGATGGGGTCATGCTAAGTTGCTAAGTTGCCCAGGTGCTGGGCTCAAACTTGCTGTCCTCTTGCCTTGGCTTCCCAGAATGCTGGGATTATAAGTGGGTGCCCCACACCAGCTTGGCCCTCTTATTTCTTAACCACAGTGATGACCTGCCCGAATGTCCTATCTCAATCATTATGTTAAATACTGGACATATGTTTTATGCATACCTTTGTATGTATGTATATAAAAATCAGAAAGCATAAGAAAAATTTGTAGAAATCAAGAGACCTGGACTCTTCATGATCCACACCTGAGAAACATTTGGACCAGGTGGGTTTCTCAGCCTGTAGGGGCAGGCTAAGAGAAGGGCTGAGGGATGTGTCCTTTTTTTGTTTTGTTTTGTTTTTTGAGACAAGGTCTCACTATGTAGTTCACGCTGGCCTTGAACTCACTATGTAGCCCGGGCTGGCCTTGAACTCACAGTGATCCTCCTGCCTCAGCCTCCTGAGTGCTGGGATTGCAGGTATACGCTACCATGGCTAGCTGCTGCATTTCATGGTAAAATAAGCCAGGGGCTCTGTCTTTCCTTTTCTGTGACCTATTCTCCTATTTGTCTCTGTCAGGGAACTTGGCCCCATATCCCTTCTGTGGCTGCAGCCTGTAGCCTATTGGTCTCTCCAGCTTCATAAACACTTGTGCCTGACATTGTTTCCTTCTGGGGAGACTGGGTCATCCATGTGCATGTTTTCCACTTCTGCACTACGTGAGCCCTGGGTCTCCCAGAAACACAGCGCCCCTCACACCTTTCTGCCTTTAGACACTGAGAAAGGATCCCCGGAATGGTGCCGACAACATCACACTCTCTTCTTTGAGCTATTTTTCTTTCTTTTCTCTGTCAAACTAGCAAAGAAAAGTTCTCAGATTTCATCAGCAGAAACAAAGCCGTGCCAAGGTCTCCCACTGGCGCGCTCAGGGTCAGCACTAGGACGGAGGGAGCGACCTAGACCTGCCATGATCCTGCCAGCCCCAGGGACATGGCAGGCTCCTGTGCTGGGTGCCACTCTCCACAGGCCTGTGCTGCTGGGGATGGATGGTAGCCTCCTGTCCCAGCCCGCACTGGGTCCCCCAGTGACCCCTCGCCCACGCAGCTGGCTGCTGGCTTTCAGCCCCGAAGTCCTGTCGCGCACATGCTGGTCCTTCCTGCTCTGCTTCTCTGTCCTCTGTCGATTCCCCCCACCCCCACCCCACCCCACCCCACCCCAGTACTGGAGATTGGATCCAGGGCTTTCACACTGAGCTACATCCCTAGCCATTTTTAATTCTTTACTATGAAACAAGGTCACTAAATTGCCTAGGCTGGTTTCCTGATTTCCAACCTCCTACCTCAGCCTTCTGGAGTGCTGGGGTTACAGGTATGCACCACCAAGCCCAGCCCCCAAGGGCTTCTGAAATGCTGTTATCTCTGTGGATAAGTCCTGGGCTCACCTGAGGAATGAGAAGGTACAACCTGAAGGAAAGGGAGAACTGCTGAGCTGCACACCAGATCCCGGCCCCCAGTGAGGGGAGGGGGGCTGCTGGTGACTGGCTGGGCTTGGAGGAAGGAGAGAGACCTGACAAAGATTTATCCCCATCAGCATGACTCTCCTGGGAGTCCTGACAGCCACAGTCAGGTGCTGCAGGAATAAATGGAGTGGCAATGAGAAGAAGCAGAAGGCTGGCTGGGGCCTGCGAGGGACCCTTGAAAGTGGGTCCTCTGCTGTTCTGCTGCAAATCTATGAATTGAGGTGCACCAGGAGGCAGCAGGGCTTACGAAGAAAGGGGCAAGGCAGGGATGGAGAGAGGAAGGAGGAAGAGGAACAGAGGGAATGAGTAGGGAGGGACATCCATCTGCTAGGGTCTGTGACAACTGTAGCCACCCAGTCCCCAGCCTCCATGGTCCGGCCTGGCTGCAGAGCCGGCCTCTCCTCCCCATGCTCAAATTCTCTCCCCATGAGTTCTTTTAAGACAGGGGCCCATCAATGTCCTTCCCGGATTTGCCCCTGCTGCCAAACCCGCACCACTGTGGAGCATCACAATCCTTTTGCAAGCTCAGATGTGGACTCAGGGAGCCTCAAGCTCACCCTAGTCTGAGCCATCTCTTGCCCTTTCCTCAGGTCCCCTCTCAGTTGACTGGGGGTGTCTGGGATCCTCCGAGCTCTGCTAACTGTGCCATGACTCTTATCAAGATGACAGGCCGTGCCCAAGTCCCCTACTCCAGGCCTGGCCTTCTGAGATCGTGCTGTCATACTTGTCCCAGGGTGACATAGGGCTGTACCTGTTCTTTGTCAGGGACCCTGAGCTTGGCCTGTTCTGCTCCCCCAGGACTCCTGGCTCTCAGGTGTCCCCTTCTCCCACATAGATTCCCCCCACCTATACCACCTCCCATTTAAAAGACTCCAGGAAAAGATGACAATGTGTACAGCAAAAGCTACCGGTGCAGTGACTCACCGGCAAGTGGCCGAGGAGCGGTGTGATGCTGTCTGAGACATACAGGATGCTGCCATCTGTGGTCACCACAATGATGAAGCCATCTAATGCCTGTAGAAAATGCAACATTGGAAAGCTCCTTAGTGATGCTTTTATGGAGGCTCATGTCACTGAAGCTAGGGACCCACTTTCTGACACCGGCTTTGTTTTGTAATCCTCAGAATATTTCCATGAATAGCTTCAGACCACTTTTCTGACTTGCACACAGGATGGTTTACACAGAATTGCCCAGCCTGGGAAAAGTGCTTGCAATATACTACAGGCTCGATGGAAAAGTTCATCCCTTGGTATCATAAATAAAATTTAGCCATGGGCATTGCTTCAATAGTTTTAATGATAAAAATGCTACTGAGCTAAATTGGAAATCTTATCATCCTCACTAGAAGACATCAGCCATATCTTATAGTCTCTTCCTCTTCTCCAATACCATGTTGAGTTCAGCAGTAAACATTTATTGCAAAATATAAGACCAAATCAATGCCTTCCAAACAGAAACTGTGCCCGTTGGCCAAGGTAGACCTCTGCCTACACTCACTACCACAGAAGTAGCTCCCAGAGGAAGAGCCCTCTGAAAGCATTCACTTATTCCTAAATTGGGAGAGGGTTTGTTAACTCAGTTGCATATGGAAGCATTTTTGAACATTGGAGAAAATGCATTCAGGGAAACATATTTACTGAGTCCCTCTGTGTGCTGGGTGCAATGTTCTGGGCACTTGTAATGTAAAAGGTTTAGTGTGGACAATGCTTTCCCACTCAGCAGATGCTTTCACTGTTTTGGTTTTAGAGTTTGTATTGAGATTTATTTTAAGGTGGATACTTACAATGCTGTTTCCGTAAGATACATCTCAAAGTTGATTTCTAAAATTCAGATTGTGTTACTCAGCTGAAAAAGAGGTTGTACTGATGACTAGAGCTGGGGAGATGGAAGAGATTAAAAACAAAGTCCCCTCATCAGAAAGCCAAACTGCTTGGAATAATACAGTACAGAAGCTCGGGGGTGCCCACTGCGCACCTGTCCCTGGTGTTTTTCCTGACGGGATCCTGCAATGTCATCTCCCTCAAGTCTGGACATTTTTCTGCTTTCAGAAGAAAAGTGAAGTGTGTGTTTAGAAAGTTCCAGAAACATTTTGTTTGCCTTCAACCAGATACTCCAGGTGTTACTGATGATCTGCCCAGCCCAGGGGATGACATCTTTGCAGTGAGGAGGGTGTGACTGGACATGGGCCACTCACCAAGTGCAGGGCACCTGGGTGACATCCACAATGTGACAGTGCCCAGCTACCAGGAAAACTAACACAAGGCCAGTTATTGTTTTATACTGATGCATGTGAATCAGAAGACCAAAGGAAAAATTAAAGCACAGTTTTTCTACTTCACCCTTTCAGATTACATCAGTGGCTCTCCACTGGGGGACATCTGGCAATGTCTGGGGATATTTCTGGTTGTCATTTGGAGTGGGTGGTGCTGTCACCTACTGGGTAGAGGCCAGGGATGCTACCAAACATCCCATAATGCACTGCACAACCCTCTGTCCAAGAATTGGGTCCAAAATGTCCATCATGCTGAGGCTGAGAGACTAGATTAGTGTATGGGTTATGGAGAACGAAAGAAGAGCCCTTTTGAGGTGGAAACCTACCAATTGGTGCTTTTATTTGTTTTTCTCTCAATTATTTTGCTAAATTATATTTTCTTTTAAAATGTAAACACATTTTTTTTGTTTGTTTTTGAGACAGGGTGTCTCAGTATATAGTTTAGGCTGGCCTTGGACTCACTATGCAGCACAGAGTGGCTTTGAACTCATGGCAGTCCTCCTGCCTCAACCTCCCCAGTGCTGGGATTACAGGTGTGCACCACCACACCCAGATAGAAATTTTAACTGATACATGAAAGCGTAAAAATTATATCTATTTATGGGATCCCATGTGATATCTTAATACATGTATAGATAGTGCAATGTTTAAATCTGGTTAAACATATCTGTCCCCTCAAACAGTTATCATTTCTTTATGGTGAAAATATTCAAAATCCTTTCTCCTAGCTTTAAAAAATATATAGTACATGAGCATCACCTATAGTCACTTCCTGTGCAACAGTACATGAGAACTCCTGGTTCTCCTCTAACTGTAACTCACTGTCCAGGGACTGATCTCTTGCCACCCTCCCTTCTGGTTACTCCAAGCTGCTCTCCTCTCCTGGAGGTGACTGTTTCTAAGGGGTGGAGGGCTGCCGATGATGTCAGCTGGACCTTTCTGGAAAAAGCAGATTGAAGGGCTGAGAAAAGCAGGAGCTACACAAATGGTCTTTTTGCATGGCGAGCCTGGGTCCCTCTGGAATTTGTCAAGAGAGTAGGTGTAAAAAGCTGAAGTATTTATAGACAGAAGAACTCTTTCATCCGCTCCTTGGCATTTTTCATCAAATGTATAAGAACCACACTGAGTCTTGGTGTTAGGGATGCTGCTCCTGGCTTTGGAAGCCCTATAGCAGTATCTGAGAGCGATTCCACCTTGGGCCACCACAGTTCGAGCTGTCCTGCCCAAGAAAAGGCAGGTTAGGCTGGGACACATACTGCCAAAGGTGGCGCTCGGCCCAGAATTTTCTTTCTTTCTTTCTTTTTTTTTTTTTTTTGCAGTACCAGGGATCAAATTCAGGTCCCTGTGCTTGCAAGGCAGGCTTGGTGCCACTGAACTAAATCCCGGTCCTTAGGCTCAGAATTTTATGCCTGCACACACTGGAGAGAAATAAAAGCTTCTTTTCCTGAAAAATCTCTAACTCTGATGGAACTTTCTCGTGTTCTCCAGGACAGCCTCCAGGCTAAGGGACTAGATTGCTGTGGCCTTTCTGATTAAATTCAGCAACAGGAACTCCCAAGTGCCAGCTGGCAAGAGCTTTCTGTCCATTGTAGTCAACTTGTTTGAGCACTGGGCCCTTACACTTGATCACAGGGGCTGGTTGCAAACTTGGCCATTTTTATTCTTTCAACCCCACAACTGTATGAGTCCTCCTGCATCTGGTCTTGTGCCTTTCTGAGAGAAGGGGAAGAAGGAAGGATTCATACCCAGAGGCACCAGCGTACCCTGGGGGTGGCACAGGTTCTCTCCTAGATTCTGTCCTTGTTAGAATAAAGAGACCTTTCCAGGAGCCAGGGCACAGTGTCTGGTCCTCCTGGCCTCTGAGGAGACGACAGTACATGTGTCTGGAATGTGATGCCTGAGACAATATTTGTGAGGGGCCTGTGGGGTGAGGGTGGGCATCTCAGGACATTGGGGAGGAGACAGGAGAGCCCTGGTCACAGCAGCACCTCTGTGTCTACTGAAGAACAACTAGGAGTAGAGGACTTGCCCTGTCTGGGATCATTCAAAAGCACAGGTTCGTGGATTTCCAACCCGGAGCCATGACTTAACAGAGCCTGCTGGTTGCACAGGCTGCATTTCTGAGCCAGTTCATGTGTCTGTGTGTCTTCTTTTCTGTCTGCCCCCAGCAGTCTACACTGGGAGCAGGTGCATAAGGAGCACAAAGACTACCCATAGGAATCTGAGTATCTTTCTCTAGAATCTCCAATCTCTTGAATCTTAGTCTTGCCTTCCAGCCCAGAAATATATTCATTTTTAACTTTATAAAAGTCTGGTTTCCTCAAATTCTTTTGCTACTTTGAAACTCACCGGAAAAAGGGCAAAAGGCTGTGTGTGCTACCGGCTCTTAAAAAAGAGGCTGAAGGGCCAGGGATTGAGCTCAGTGGTTCTCCTGCTTGCCTCCTAAGCACAAGGTCCCGAGTTCGATCCCCAGTACCAAAAAAAAAAAAAAAAAAAAAAGAGGCCAATGTCAGGAGGTTATGTGTTTTAAATATTTTTCTATAAGAATGGAAAGATAAATCAATATACATTAAGTAGCACAATGATGCACTAATCCCACATTATATCTCACAAGCTGCTTTAAATTTAACATACTTAAAATGCATTGCCTCTGCAGAAAGTTCTGTATTTTCTTTAAATATAGTTCCCATGTCACGTTAAATAGCTTTCATTTTATGCAAATGTTCATTAATGCATTTATATTTTGTAATATTTGGAATCTTTATTCAGGCATTTTCTTATTCCAGTACTTTCTGTTTTCTGCATAATCTATGTAAAATGAAGTTTACATCAGTCTGGTAAAGGCACATAGATGACATACAGAAAGATCTGTCCCAAGAAGCCATTTTCTGATCACCTGGTGGGAGCCCCTCCCCAGCACGATGGCTCCTCCCCAGTCCTGAGGACCCCCACCCATGGATAGATGTATAATGCTAGGGGAGGCCACTTGCCCAGACAGGCCAGGCTTTCACAAACATGACCTGCAGGTGAACAGGCACCCAACCCAGAGGAAGGAACACAGGCATCTTAGTGCAATGAGGGTGTGAGCTGAGTGGAGGCCCAGGGTCCCTGGCTTCACCTGAGTGCCATGTTGATGTAATATGAGCTCAAGGCAAAAGCATAACTTTAAAAGAAGACTTGTTTTTCAAATGTTTCTACTAAGGGAAAAATATAATCATTGCATCCTGGAGACTCTGTGGGCCAGCGACAAGTGCAGAATATTGTGATTGTGCCCTCCTTTCCTTCCCTTCTCTATCTGCCTCTGCCCCTCCCCTCATTGGGGTCCCCTGTTTGGAAGACCACAAAGGGCCCCACCCTGAAGCCACTGAGGCTACAAGCACATTCAGTTTGGGAATTCTCACTTCTATCACCCAACTCAGGCATTGAAACGTGAGCAATCACAGGCAGAGCCTTGGACCGTATCTGTTTTCAGACGTCTTTCCACCGCCCGTTGTTTCTTTGGGCTCAGGGGCTTATCAGGGACAAGTAGGGACAGTTTAATTTGCATTCGATTAAGCTAATCTGAAAGGGCATTCACCTCTAACATCAACTGGGTGAATTCCTCATTACTAAGGAACGAAGGCTTCCAGTCTTGCTGAATGTCGCAGATTTCCGTTTGTGCTGAGACTTCTAAAAACAAAACGAAACACAAATAAGCTTCTATGCTCAAGGGCATCTAGAAATTGGAATGAACAAATGAAACACACGTTACTTCTCTATGGTTTTGTATAAGTCTCTGTGCAGTTTAATTAAAGAAGCCAACACAAGAAAATACGTTACCCTGATTTCCAGGGGCTGGGCTCTGGGTGTAATGGCCTTAAAAACACTTTTGATCTCAGAACCCTTCAGTGAAGCTTCTGGGAAGAGAGTCCCCCACCCTCAGCCTGGTGTGGCACCTAGCACTTGCAGGTGGCACCATGCCCTTCAAATTAAGTAGGTATCACTTATCAAGGCAATGGGAACAAAGACTGGGATGGCAGACATCTTTTTAAGCTGCTTCTTCATGGTCAAGGCAAAGCAAAATACTTTAGAGACCTGGGATCTTCACAATTCCAAGGGCTGTGAGTGTAGCTTAATAGTACAGCTCATGCTTTGCATTTGTAAGGCCCTGGGTTTGGTCCCCAGCACTACAAGAAAGAGAGAAGGGAAAGGGTAAGGGAGGGGGAAAGGGGAGGGAAGAGAGGGAGAAGTAGAAGAAGAAGAAGGAGGAGGAGGAGGAGGAGGGGGAGGAGAAGATGAGGAACAACCTTACAAAATTCCAAAAACATCTAGATTTACAGGAAATAACTCACTGTCTTGCAGAACATAACAAGATTTTTCAGCATTTCCATTACCGAACTATAATGTGCTATAAAAATACACATTACTTAATTGTTTTTAAAGACCATGCTTACTCTTCTCAAAACTTTGTGGGGTTAAACTACATCCATTTTATGTAACCACCTTGTACTGGAAGTGTTAGTCATATTTGTCAATTGAATAGTCATCAGCCTACACAAGACCCTTTACATCTTCTAGCTCTTTTGCAATTTTCAAAACATGGTTTGTTTTATTATTAAGTTATTGTTGATAAGAATATTACAGATAGCACAAATGTGTTATCTTTATACATTTGGGTTTCTTTTTCCTGTTTATTCTACATCTTAAACCAACACTTTGTTCCACCTTATGTGGCAAGAGGTCTCTTTAGAGATTATTTTCTCGGTGCTTAAAAAACTATAAAAGCTCATGACTTAAACCCCAGGGAATAAAACTGGCCTGGTGAACAACTTCCTGGAGAAATGCAAATTGTTCAGGCAGCTAATCTATTCACTTTAGGAGAAAGATTTCAAGGCTCTCTCCTTTGTATTTTTTCTTTTTCTTTGTTTAGTGCTAGAGATAGAACCCAGGGCTTCATGCATGCTAAGCACCCACTCTGGGACCAGGCCACATGCCTGGCCTTGCACCCAGGTTATTGGTGCTCTCTCTTAGGTACAGCAGGGCAATGAATTCTGCTGTGTGGATGAACGAATCTGAGTGAATTCTGGAGGTTCTCATAAACAAGCAGATGGGAAGGGCCGAGTTACACATGTGACTATAAACTCTTACCCCTTCCACACCCATCATCTAAGGTTTCTGCCAGTGCCAGGCTGTACTAAGAAGTTTTCTTCCTTCCAGTGTTTGAAACAACAACTTACAGCTGTTGTTGTGAAAGATTGGATCTGTTGTCCTTTGTGGTTTTAAGGAATACAAAAGTGATGCAAGAGCCTTTGGCAACTGAATATGGGAAGAAATCCAGGAGAGGAAACCAGGCTGGCCATCAGGCAGTCAATAACACTGACTAGAGCCGACTTCAGAGGGCTGGTGTGTGTGGCTACCTCACAGTGCTGGGCCCCACGATGAGTGTGGTGAAATGCATGCTGGGAAGCAGAGGCAGGTGCCACATACACGTGTACCCTGGGGTGTTGCCCAGGCAGGAGAGAAAGGGTGAAACTCCCAAGTCTTCACACAAATAACTGCCACATTTTGATCACATAGAAAAGAGATGGAATCCATATATACACCTCTTCCTTCCCAAAACAAATGAGGTACAATAAAAAATTTTATTACAGCAAAGGGCACATTGTCATTAATCCTCCTCAAAATGCTCCACCTTGCTTCAAACACTCTTACCCATCATTCTTGCCACTTTCTGAAGCAGCTCTTTTTTCCTGAATGTCCTTAGTTCTGTTGTCGTGGTTGCCTCAAATGTCCCTAATTGATCCAAAATGTTTACCTTTCATGGTCATTTTTATTTTGGGGAAGAGGCAGAAGTGAAACAGTGCCAAAGCCAATGAATAAGGAGGAATACAGCATCGTGTTTTCTGAGCTGCCTTTCTTTAGAGGGCACTGGGCAGCAGCACTCACTGTATTTTTTTTTTTTTTTTTGGTACCGGGGATCGAATTCTGGACCTTGCGCTTGTGAGACAGGCAGTGGCACCACTGAACTAAATCCCTGGTCTGCTCACTGTATTTTTGATCACACCTTGTAAAGACACTCAGGAAAGAGGACTTCAGACCTGCTTCAGAAAGTGATAAGAATGATGGGATAAATGTATCTGAAGTGAGGGGAGTATTTTCAGGAGGATGGCAATGTATCTTTTACTGTAATCAATTAAAATTGTTTTTAAACATTTAGTGTAGTTTTTGATCACACCTTGTACACTCATCTGAAAAACTCTTCTGACCAGCAGCATCAAACTGTAGATGGTCCAGGAGAGGAGCCTCTCCATCATTTAGATAGAGGGCCATTCAACTTGGTGAAGGGCAATGAAGAAGCCACTGCTTGGATGTAAGTAACTTGTTGATCACTCCATATGTCTGCAAGCTTTCTCAACATGAGCACAACAGTCCTGAGAGCAGCCTCTTGTTCACTGTGTATTGCAATAATTTGATTATAGTCCTGGAAAGTTAAGGCTAGATCCACAGCACATCAAAAAGATGTAAATTAGATAAGACGTCTCAAAGCAAGCAAAAAATGCTACACTGGGAACCAAACTTCAGTGCTAGAATCCTGTCTCCCCTGGCATCTGACAGCACCAATTTCATAAGCTACAGGTGGCAGGGCAGGATTAACAAAGATGTTTGATCAGAGAGACTTCTAAATAGCAAGGAAGGAGGAAGAACTGGGGGGCCATTTTTATAGGAAAACATTACAATAAGAGCCAGCCGCTCAGGTTTTACTTAGGTAGAACCCGGAGTTGTAGAATGCTCACCTACAATTGCTGCCCTAGGTCTGAACAAGGGGCAGGGCATCTTGCATGTGGTCAAAGACAAGCCAGAAAGTAGGCAGAAACCCAACTTGCAGGGGTGGGTAAATACTGCCTGCCCAAGGGACATTCCCCGAATTCTGCAGCCTTACCTTCTCACCTGCTAGCCGTGAATGCAGACATATTGAAGAGGCCCATGGGGGAACAGGATTTGACACTGGGACAAAGTTATACTGGGTCAGCTGGTTATTCACACAGGAAGAGGATGATATGTCACCATCTGGGTCCTGTAGGACCAGATAGACATGGACGGCAATGTCCAATATTCCCAATATTTACACAATTCAGGGGTCTCTCTCTCTCTCTCTCTCTCTCTCTCTCTCTCTCTCTCTCTCTCTGTGTGTGTGTGTGTGTCTCTCTTATAAGAGAAACTGCTGACACAAAATCTCACTACAAAGAAACATGGTTATATTCTTACTTTGATTTGGACTACTTCAAAGAGAATAAATGTGTGTTCCAGGATCAAGATTTATGTCCCAAGCTAAGAAAAAGGGATGCTTGAAAGACTATTGGGCAAAGAGCTAAATACTTATAACTACCTGAACCTATTTGCTTTTCCTTACTTATCTGTGGTCTGCCATTAGCCTGAAGGCAGAAAGCTAACCCAACTTCTTAATCCTGGCTTCGAACTGGAGCCTCCTGGGGACCTTTAGAAATACTGATGCCCCGCCTTCTGTGATGGTCTGTGGGTACACAACTCTCTACTTCTGCAAAAATCCCTGGATCTGGAGTGCTGCCCACTTCTGTGTAAATACTTCTACCGTGGCTGATTTTGATTTACCAAATTGATGCAACTGGCTGGCAAAACACCTGAAAATTTAGCAATCTTCCCTGAAGCTGGCAGGAGCTGGCTCCCACACCCTCCCCTCCCTGAGAGATCTGGGGGCGCTGCTCTGTGGGGCTTTACCAGGCTCTATGGATTATTTCAGAAGCAGCTTGGATGATTCTAATGGGCAGCCACAGTTGAGGACTAACAGCCTAAATAGATGTAATAATGCAGCTATGATGCAACTGTCTCTGGGTCCCCGACGCCACCTCTCCTGCAGAAGGAGTATAAAAACAGCGCTTCTGGGCTTAGAGTCCATGTCTTTCTGGCTGTCCCACTGGGATGACTCATTCTCCTGTACAATGGGCTGGATGCACAGGGCTGCTGGGATGCTCAGGGGATTTATGACACACAGAGCCTCTAGCACAGTGTTGGGCTCTCAGGGGTACCAGATAAATGCTGAGAATCAGGATTCTCCACCAGTGTGCTCATGGGGCTCATTTCTATGTGGATGACATGGGAAGTGAGAGCAGGATGTAACTGAAATATGCAGTGAATGTTTAAACTAAAACTTTATCACAGTAACAGACATTAACTGCCATGAATCCCTTCAAAACATTGCTTCAAGCACATTTATCTCATTGTTCTTGCCACTTTTGGAAGCAAGTCTGGACGTCCTCTTTCTTGAGTGTCTTTACAAGGTGAGATAAAAAATGTAGTGAATGCTATTGCCTAATACCATCTAACTGGAAAGGCAGGCTCGTAAACACACAACACTGTGTCCTCATCCATCTTATGCACTGGATCTCACACCAGGTTACTTCTGGCTTTTCCCAAAGTCGAAATAACCACAAAAGAGAGTTATGAAATGATTCAGGACATTGAGGCAGTGATGACATTGCAACTGAAGACACTCAGAAAAGAAGACTTCTAGAACTGCTTTCAGAAAGTGGCAAGAATGATGGAGTAAGTGTATTCAAAGTTAGGGGGAAGATTTTGAGAGGGCTTCGTGGCAAAGTGTGTTTTACTGTAACACATTAAAAAAACATTTGCCATGTTTTTTTTTTTTTTTTATTCTGGGGATCAAACTCAGGACCTTCTGGTTGGGAAGCAGGCGGTGGAACCACTGAGCTAAATCCCCGGCCCTTTGCCATGTTTTTTGATCAAATCATGTATTTGTTTTTTTGCCTTAAACCAATGGATTTTCTGCCTGATTTTGAATATGGAGTCACAGGATAAGTGAGACCCTGGAGGATCTTACTTGCTTTGAAGTGGGCTGCGCCCAGCCAGCCTTGCCTGTGGAAGAGGGTGAGACAAGGCTAGCCCTCCCGGTGTGAGTGGGCTGTATTGCTGCTGACCTGTCCTGGCCTGGGCCCTGATTTGACAATTCTGTAATTCCATGGTGGACAGATCCCTGGTCACACTGATGAACTTGATCCCAGCTGTCCCATTTAACAGCTGTCCTGCTTCTTGGTAGCACTGACCTACTTTGAGTAATTTGCACAAAATATCTTGGCCATCAAACCAACTTGCTAGTTCACTTGGCCAAATCATCATTTAGGAAATGTAACCATTTCAATGAAATTACCAGAGCAGTTGAGTACTGTTAATGCTTTATTCCAATCCTGCTTGATTGGTCTTCCCTGTCTTTTGACAAAAGCAATTAACATGCTCTTTTTTCTCCCCTGGACAGTGTTGAAAAAACAAAAGGTGGACCACCATCCCTGTCCCATTCGTAACAGGTATACACAATTATCAAGGAAATAATGAAAGAATAACAAGTATAATGAAACTTTCCCATGTCCCAGCAGTGCCCTCTTGCATGAAATCTTGTCTCAGAAAATGTTCAGGAGAGCAGCAGCATTATGGTAAGCACAAGAGAACTGTAATTACTTCCTCAATAATTCTGACATTACTGACTATTATGTTTGGTGTCTTGGTTAAAGCAAAAAGAATTCTTATCTTCCTGCTTGTTAATAGCTCCCAAACACTCTCAAGTATTCTTCAGCATTTAAAATTTTTTTTGTACTATCCAAGGTGAGTGGCAGGGTAGGCGAGATCAGCACAGCGAGGTGAAAGGGTCTGATGAGAATCAAAAGGAAAGGGGGATCTGAGAAGGACACAAATTCAAGGCTGGCTTCAGATGGCAATTTCGAGTGATAGTATGAATGGTACTATTTCGTGTGAATAGTATCCACCCGTGAGCACAAACTAGCCAGAGGGCTGGAAGAACGTGGACGATTCGTACAGGCATCACAGGCAAAATGCACTCTTCCAGCTGTCAGATCCCTAGAGGCAAAACCTTCCTATAGTATAGGAAGTCATAAAAGCTGCTCCATTTGGTGAAGGCAAAAATGGATAGGAAAGGGACACCCTGGGGAAGCTTCTATTTCTTACCAGGATTTTTTTGTTTTTTGAGTGCATGTGGGAGGATACCAGGGACTGAACCCAGGACCTTCACACAGAGCTATAGCCCCAGCCCTTTTTTATTTTTTCTTTTGAGACAGGGTCTTGTTAAATTGCCCAGGCTGGGCTTGAACCTGCAATCCTTCTGCCTCAGCCTCCCAGAGTGCTGGGATTACAGGCGTGTCCAACCATGCTGGCTTTGACTCGGGTTTTAATGCTTGCCTGGCCCAGGGATTCTTGACAAAGTCCCACACAGTAGGAATGTCACCTGCTCCAGCTGGGGGCCACCATGAGGCTGTTCTGGATGTCCCCTGGCTGACCAGGTAACCTGGGAGGGCAGAGTCCTCACCCCAGCTTTCTAGGCATGGGGCTGCCTTGGAGGTTGGGGTCCTTGGAAAGGGAAGCCCTTGAGTGACAGGGGTTGCTGTGCCAGAAGGAGAAAGCTCCCAGGAGGCCTGGCCTGAGGATGCTACCTTCAGGAAAGGGGGGTGGGGCTGGACAGAAGCCAAGAACAGTGTGGCTCTTACCATTGTGTTTCTGCAGGAAGCCAATGACCTTCTCCAGCACGGTGGTCTTGTCCATCTTTCGTGTGTTCCCAGGCAGCATGGAGCTGAGCTCTTTGATGAGCACATTGAACTGGTCCCGACGCTTCTTCTCAGACTTGTTTCTCGAGGCTCTGGAAACAGATTGTGCTTCATTAAGGCTTTGCAAGGAAACAGGTGCTTTCTATCTGAGCCCTTTTCTATCTCAATTGATTTAGCAAAGATTTTCAGGAGGGACCTCAGCCAGGTGTCGGAGCTGAGGAGTGGGGGACAAAAATGTTGTGCTAGACTTGCAGACCCAGGGCTGATGGATGCAGACCCTGTGTGCAGCTGCTGTGATGCTGAGAGGTGGACACCACTTTTTACATGTGGGGAAAATGCAAATGCTTATCAGTAGGTCAAAGAAGCCAGACTGAAAAAGTCACATACTATTTCATTCCAACTATGTGGTGTGAGCAAAAAATACAGTCGATGTTTAAATTGAAAATAAAAAAAATTATATCAGGTAAAGACACATTGCCATGAATTGCCCTCAACTCTCCCCCTTCACTTCAAATACACTTATCCCATTGTTCTTGCCACTTTCTGAAGCAGCTCCGAAAGTCCTCCCTTGTGAGTGTGAGTGTCTTTATGAGATACGATAAAAAATATGGAGAATGCTGCTGTGCCATCCGACAGAAAGGTAGGCTTGTGAACACATGACACTGTGTCCTCATCCACCTTACTCACTGAATCTGGCACTGTACAACTTAGCTCTTCCCCAGTGTCAAAATGAGCATGAAAGGTAGATGTTTTGAATCAATTCAGGACATCAAGGCAGTCACAACAGTGCAACTGAAGACTGGTTGTGTGTCCATGGGGGCACAGGGTATGTGGGAGATCTCTGTACTTCTCACTCAGGTTTGCAGTGAGCCTCAAGTGCTTTAATAAAAGATGAAGTCTATTTTAAAAATGTCATGCCACCTTTAGCAGAGCCACCTCTGAGGAACCCCAAGCTCCACAGGCATCAGGCAGGGAGTCAGGGCTCTAACACAATCAAAACAGACCTGGTGATGGAGGAAGCCCAGGGGCAGTGCTGCTCACAGGCTGGGGTTCTTAGCAACACATCAAATCCCCTTTGTCAACCATCAGCCTATTCTGAGGGGACCTAGGGATGAAAAAGCTGCCCTACTCCTCCTGAGTACACCCAAGATGGACTTCTCCTAGAAAACCAGCCCCGAGAGGGGACAGGGGCCACTGTGGCACAGCCATCCACATTGTCAGCCTGGTGGTCCAGGCAGCCCAGATTCTACGGTCAAGGTTCTTGGGGTAGCTGATTCCTTGTCAGGAGGGTCCTGGCCAATTGTGGTAGGGATAGCAGGTGCAGGTGAGTGGTTCCCCTCCTTTGGGTCAGGAATCCCTGTTTCTAGGTATCAGTGTTAGTAAAGACTCTGCTTCCCAAACAGCCCTTAGGAACACAGGGACATGCCCTAATAGTCTTTACCTAAATGTCACAGTGGCTGTCCCTGCTGTTTGCCTCTGACCACAACACAACCTGTCTTTATTTCCATACACATGTTTACAGCCCTTCTTTCACTGGCTTCTCTCACTCTGAGCTGTTTCCTGATCACATAAGAGCAATTGTTCAAAGCCCACCACAAGTGCATGGTCACCAGTCTCTCCTGAGGGTCTTCCTCTTCTCCTGACTTCTGTCTCCTTCCTGATGGCTCTTGGGTTTTGGATTAAGGGATCTCTGCAAAGGCCTTGCTCCTAGCCAAGCTGTCTCACATCACAGGCTGGTGGCAGGTGTGGCAGGGAGATGCTGAGGTCCTTATTGTTAGCTCAGGGTAAAAGGTACAGCATTCAAACACAAGACAGAGAAGAAAGAACCTTTCACTTTTTGAGCAACTGTCTATGCATTATAAATAATTTTTTGGCCTAGATTTTAAAGATTGACATGCAACCTCCTTAGCCAAAAAAAGCTCTGTTCCCGTTCTAGTTTGCCTATTATAAATTATTTGTGAGCTGATAACACCCAGTTCATTATTGCTCTGTTTTCTTCTTCAATGGGTGCAATGACAACCAACATGGCCTGGCAGAGAATCTGACGGAGCTCCTATCATTAGTGAAAGAAATAAAAGCTTGTTCCCGTCAGCCTCCGCCTGGGACACGAAATGGAGCCCACTGGGAATCAGTCAATGTCAGTTGGATCCACAGCTCTGAGTTAAAGAGAGCCAAAAGCCTGGGCTGACCTTGTTTCCAATAATGAGGTCTGCTCATGCCAACGCAGGGGGACAACAGGTTGAAAGGCACTTAAACAACCAGCCTGTGGGAGTTTTTTTAAAGGCATCATTTGAGTTTTATAAAATTCATCCATCTTAAGTGTACAGTTTAGTGAATTCTGATAATTATACAAACCCCACCAAACCAAGATATACCTTTCCTCTAACGGGTCTCTTCCTGCATCCTGTTGATTTCCCCAACTGCAGCTACCTATGGAACTGTATGATTTATAATCTTTGACAATCTTTCACATAAAGTTTTTAAGATGCATCCACTTATTGCACATACTAATATTTTGTTTGTTTTTCTGCTGACTAGCATTCCATGTGTGAATATGCTGTGACTCTTTGGCAGTTTCCAGCTGGGGAGGATTAAGGAGAATACTTTTGTGCATATCTCTGTATAGACACAGCCATTCCTTTCTCTAGGCTAAATACAGAGGCATGACACTGCTTAGTCATGTGATCAGTGTATGTTTTTTGTTCTTTTGGTACTGGAGATTGAACTCGGGACCTTTCACTTTCGAGGCAGGCGGCAGAACCACTGAGCTAAATCCTCGGCCAGTGTATGTTTGACATACGAGACACTGCCACATTGTCACACTAAGTTGGTTAACCCTGGTTTTCACTTCAACAGACAACAAACGAGAGTCCAGATTGTAACAATCCTTGTCAACACTTGGAATTGTCGGTCATGTATTAAACTTTAGCCACTGAAGTGTTGTCTTATGATGATTTGAATTTGTCTTTTTCTGATGACCAGCAACATTGAACATTTTTTTGCATGCTTAATGGCCATTCATATATCTCCTTTTGTGAAAATCTTCTGCCTATTTTTTAACTGGTTTCTTTGTCTTCTACTTAATTGACTGAATTTAAGAGACAGAGAAAGAGAGAGGAAGAAAGGAAGGCAGGGAGGAAGCAGAGTGTGCCTGTGTGTTAAACACACATCCTTGCAAACCCCACCTTTGATTTTTGAATGCAGGGCTCATACTCTGCTGAAGTGCCCATCGCCGGGGGTCTTGGGGAGGCTGGCTCTGGTTGTGTGGGTACCATTTTCATCTTAAGCAATATATATATGATACAGTTAGAAAAGTTGAGGGACACACTCCCTTCCTTCATTCAACTATAAACATTTCACCACCCTAATAAATTACCCGTGTTTAAGCACAGGAGGTCATGATGCCTGAGGTGGCAGATCATCCACACCAGCGAGAGATGGAATGGAGGCAGCTAGAGTCAGAGCTGTCAGACCTCAATGGGAGGCACCTGGAGTTAGAGGCATCGACTTTAAATACTGGAAACCTGAGTGGCGTTAGTACTTATCGAGGGTTGTTTCTCTTCATTTTCTTTTTTCCTTTTTCTTTTCTGCCTGTTCCTGCTGCTACCATCCCATGATCTTCAATAAGGTAGCTACTTACTACAAGGTGTACACGTGAGAATTCTTTCTTGTCATGCCCAAGAACCTGGACTGTTTTAGGCCCATTCAACTGTAATACACACACACACACACACACACAGACACACACACTATAGGCAGTGACACCACTGAGCTAAATCCCTGGCTCTGTATATGACTTTTTATAATCACAAAATTACAGTCGCTATAAATTATAATTTAAAAAAATCTGAGGGCCGGGAATTTAGCTCAGCGGCACCATGCCTGCCTTGCAAGCACAAGGTCCTGAGTTTGATCCCTGGTACAAAAAAATGAAAGAAAAAAAAAAGACCTGACAAACACCACAAAAATAAAAATGTAGGACATTATCATTTTTAATAACTATTGTCCTATTATACTTTTTAAATACTACTTTTCCTAATGTTTGGGGCTGCAAATTCATTGATCCTTCACTTGCAATATTTTTAGTATTTTCTGTAGACTAGCAAGATTGTTAACTAAATTAAATTTAGCAGCTCGATTTCTTCTAGCATGGTTAATCTATATTTTTACTGCTGATATAAAAGTTTCTCTCAGCTTAGCAACTCATTTCTTTTTTTTTTTTTAACAACTCATTTTTTCTGATGTTTTTTGTAGTGTGTGTTTGGTTCTGAGCATATGCTCTTTCTAGCTCAGCAGCAGTTCCAGTGAATATCCTGCCCTTTTGCTCACCCTAGTTCACTAAAGCTCAAGCGAACTCTCATGGGCCTCACCACCACCCTACCTTCTTTTTTTGGTACTGGGGATCGAACTCAGGACCTTGTGCTTTCAAGGCAGGTGCGGTGCCACTGAGCTAAATATCCCCAGCCCTACCCCACTTTCATACTGTTCCACCACAATAATCCTGAGAATGTGGGACAGATTACTGCAAGCAGGATGCAGAACACCATCTGATGACTCTGGTCATTTCCTTGGGGTCTAAAATACAGTTGAAATGCTTAATAAGATATAAAGTGGGCTGGTCACTGATGGGAGTCCAGGCAGAGGTAGACATCATGCTGACAGCCCCAGCCCCATCTACAGTGACAAGACCACCATGATGGCCAAGGATCCACGCCTCCAGTTCCCTGCTTTTATGATGCTACTTCTTTGGTGAAGAACACATGAAGATATAGAAAGGGAATATCCAAGCAGAAGGTTCTGAAACCTAGGATTCATATCTTCCTAGATTTTACCCCTGAACAAATATTTTCTGATGGGTCAAGCATTGTTTCTTTTTACTTAAAATCTCTCCTTCCTTTTCCCCATGTACCATACCTCTATGTATGACTCCATAAGCCAGTAAACTGTGACATAATCTCTGGAGACCCATGCCAGAATTAGAATCACAGCCTGTGGTATTTTACCCATGCTTATTTAAGTTTTTATTAAAACATTCACCATAGTATATGCTTATTTCCTTACTACATTGAGATATAAGGACAAGAGCTTTGTCCACTAATTTTCTATCCCTTCTTTTACTGTAAGTTTTGTCACACAGTACACTTAACAATAACTGATGCACCAGAATTATTTTATTTTCAGCATCTTGTACATATCAAGTTTTTAACAAGTTGTGTAGCAGGAATTCTTTTTTTTTTTTTTGCATTAAAAACCAAGTAACTTTATATTGGAAGCAACTGTCTAACATAAAGCAAAGAGCTGAAGTAAGCATACTTAAAGAAGAGTGTGTGCACCCTGCCTGGTGACCTAGGGAGAACCCTGTGGCTCTGGGGACAGTCCATGTTCAGTCCTCTTTGTCGCCGATGTCCAGCATGAGCCTGCCAAGCAGGTAGTCGGCCAGGCACTCCAGCCGGGGCCCCAATTTGCGCAGGACGGTCCAGTACTTGCCCAACTCCATGAGCACCTGGCCCTGGGGCCGCAGGTAGTGGCGCGGCAGAAAGTCGCACACGTGGGGCTCGCTCTTGCCGGCTGCCAGGTGGTGCAGCTCCAAGAGGCTCTTGTGGAGGGTGTTCTCCAGGTGTAAGGCGCACTCCAAGGCCTGGACGCTGCCACGCCAGTCCTTGCTATCGGGCTGTGCGATGTCATGAAAGGCACGCTCCCGCCTCTCTCGGTCTGCATCCCCGTGAGCTTCTCAGCGAGCTCCCCCCACTGGTGAGACCTGCGCAGGAAGAAGCGTGAGAAGTGCTTCAGGGCCACGTCCAAGCGGTCGCAGTAGACGGCCAGCGACAGGTAGGCGTAGGAGGCGTAGAGCCGCAGCTGGATCTGGGCGTTGACCGTGGCCTCGCACTCAGCGAGGTAGTTCTGGCGGACCTCCGGGGGCGCGGCGGGCACGAAGGCGGTGGAGGCGGCGAAGTTAGCGCTTACTGTGAAGTTAGCGTGAGCAGGTGGGCAGCGGCGGTGACGGCTGCCGATGCCGAGGCGGCGAGGTCCACGTGGTGGCCCCAGGGCGGCTCAGGAAGCAGTCAGCCAACGCCTGGCTCCGGGCAGAGGCTGACGTAAAGCGAGGCTGAGGTGAGGTGACTGAGGCAAGGTTTAAATGGAAGGTTCCAGAAACAGGCAGGACGGAAGTGGACAGTCCCGGAGCAAGTGGGGCCGGAAATGGAAGGTTCCCGAAGCAGGCGGGCAGGAATATTACCGATAAATTTAGTTACAAAAAAAGAAGAAAGGGACCCCTGGGAAGCAAAGGTCCTGAGCAGGTCTCACAGAAGGAAGAAAGGTGATTTACCCAAGTTATGTTTCGGACTCTCGCGTCCATGTTCCAAGGGATATAGGTCTGTAGTTTTCTCGTACTGTTTGTCAGGCAAAGCTGGCCTTACAGAATTAAATAGGAAAATATTTCCTTCTCTTGGACTTCTGGATAACACTGCATAGAATTGGTGATTTTCTTTTAACTATTTGGCAGAATTCACCAATACAACCATCTGGGTTTGGAGATTTCCTATTCAGGTTTTTAACTACAATTCATTAGTTACAGGGTTCCTGTTGCTATCTATTTTATATTATGCGAGTTTGGTAGTTTATGACATTTAAATAACTGGTTCATCTGACCTAAGTTCTTGAATTTATGCAGATGCAATTGATCATAGCATTTTTAACGGTCCTTTTAATATTTCAGAGTTATGTAGTGATAGCTCTTGTTCCATTCTTGCTATTGACAACATCTCTTTTTTTGATCAGTCTCTAAATAGATCTATCAATTTATTTTTTCAAAGAATCACTTAATTGATTTTTATATTGTTTTTCTATTTTCAATCTTATTGATTTATGTTCTTAGGTCAATTATTTGAATTCTTATTCTTGCTGTGAGTTTATTTTGGTGTTTTGTTTTTAGTTTCTTAAGGTGGAAGTTTGGTCATTGATTTGAAACCTTTTCTCTTGTCTAATATGGGCATTTAATACCATAGATTCTAAGTACTGCATTAGCTGCAACCTACAAATTTTAAAATGTATTTACATTTTCATTCAATTAAGAAATGTTTGAAAATATTCCTTGAGGCTTTCTCTTTGACCTAGGAGTGACTTAAAAGTTTGTTGTTGAATTTCCAAGTTTTGGAAGATTTTTTCCTGCTTTTTGCTTCTTTTTTTTTTTTTTTGGTACAGAGGATAGAACTCGGGTCCTTGCGCTTGCACAGCAGGCGGCGAAACCACTGAGTTAAATCCCCAGCTGAAAATCTGTGTATTCTGATACTATTGTTCTATATGTTGAGATTCTGTTGGTTGGTGGCTTTTCAGATCTTCCATATCCTTGCTGAATTTTGTTCTAGTTCTCCTAAGGGGTCTGTTAAAGACTCATCTCACATCTTCAGGTTGTGCTTTATTTTGAGGCTCTGTTTTTGTACACCCATGTAGAATTGTTTGTCTTGCTAACTTGATCTATCATTATCTATTGCCGCTCTTTATTCCTGTACTTCGCTCTGCAGCCTGTTTATTTGATAGTAACATAGCCTTTCTGATTTTCTTTTAGTGTTTGTGTGATAAATAATTTTCTATAGCTTTACTTTTAAACCTATCCCTATCACCATATTTCAGGTGAATATCTTGTAATAGCATATATCTAGGTCATTTTAAAAAATCCATTCTGACAATTTTTTTTAGTTGAGATATTTATGCCATTTACATTTAATGTATTTGTATGTTTGAGATTAAGACTACCATTCTACAATCTGATTTCCATTTGTTCACTGTTTGTGTTTTGGTTGTTGTTCCTTTTTCCTGTTTTCCTTTGGGTAACTGAAACAATTTTTAGTATTTAATTTTATCTAACTTTCCCCTTTGTATTTTTATACAGTGTTCAGTATTAACTTCAGGGATTAAAATATATAGAACTTAACTTTTCAGAGCCCACTTAGAATATTTTGCCCTTTCTGTTATTCCTTGATTACTCATGTTCTAAGTCTTCATTTTACTTTCATTCCTGAAGGATATTCTCACTAGATATACAGTTCTGGGTTAACACTTCTTTTCTTTTGACATTTAAAAAATATTGTGCCACCAGCAGAAGGCTTCCATGGTTTCTGGTGAGGAATCCACAGTGCTGTTTAGACGACTGTCACACTGGCTGGTGGTCTGTGCTCTCAGACCTGAAAGTCTGATCATGGTCAGATCTAGGCATACCCTGCTTGAGAGTGAGCCCAGGAGCTCACAACCAACATCACAGGGTCACTTTCTTCCTTCTGTGAGACCTGCTCAGAACCTTTGCTTCCCAGGGCTCCCTTTCTTTTTTTTTTTTTTGTAATTAAATTTACTGATACATTTTAAATATACATAATGATCACATTCATCATAGGGAATTTGTGCATACATGACATATCTATATACTTTTTTCCCATTCCCCTCCTTTCCCTCCAACCCCTCTTCTCCTCCTTATTTACAAAAGCTTTGTTTCCATTTTTCCTTTTCTCATTTTTCTTTTCCTTTCCCCTCCCCCATCCTTAGTTCCCCTTCCCATTTGAACACTTTCTTCCTATTTCACAATATCTGTTATACATTTCAGTCCTTATTTACACTTTGTTTCTCACATCAGAGAAACAATGTGATATTTACACATGTGCATCCTATTTATTTCACTTGAGTATGGTCTCAAGGTGCATCCATTTACCTAGAAATGTCTCAAGTTTATCCTTCTTTATGGCTAAATAGTTCTCCATTGTATAAGAAAACCCACATCTTCTTTATCCATTCATCAGTCTGTGGGCATGTGGGCTGTTTCCAAGATTTAGCTATTACAGACTGTGTGGGTGTGCATATATCATTGTGATGTGATGCTTTTAATTCTTTCAGGAAGATACCAAGGAGCAGAATAGCTGGGTCAAATGTAACCTCTAATTTTAGATTTTTTTTTTTTGGTACCAGGGATGGAACTTGGGTCCTTGTGCTTGCAAGGCAGGAGGTGGAACCACTGAGCTAAATCCCTGGCCCTAATTTTAGTTTTTTGAGGAATCTCCACACTGATTCCCACAGTGATGCACCAGTCTGAACTCTCACCAACAGTGGAGATGAGTTTCCTTTCCCCCACAACCCTGCCAGCATTTGTTATTGGTTGCTTTCTTGAAAATAGCCATTTTTTCTGGAGTGAGATGGAATCTCAGCATTGTATTAATTTGCATGTCTTGAATGATGAGTGATGATGAACATTTTTTCATATATTTATTTGCCATTTGTACTTCATCTGAGAAGTGTGTATTCACTTCAGATCCTCATTTTTGGATTGGGTCTTTAAATTTGTGAGGTCTGATTTTTTTGAATTCTTTATATATTCTAGATATTAGTCCTCTGAGGAACAGCTAGCAATAATTTTTTCTCACTCTGTGGGTTGTCTCTTCACTCTGTGGGTGATTTCTTTTTTGTTTTTGATGTTGTTGTTGTTGTTTTTTTTTGGAACCGGAGATTGAGCTCAGGACCTTATACTTGAGAGGCAGGCGTGGTGCCACTGAGTTAAATCCCTGGCTCTGGTGATTTTTTTTGTGTGTGCAAAAGCCTTTTAATAAGATGAGATCCCAGTTGTGGATTCTTTGTGATATTTCCTATGTAATTGAGGTTTTGTTCATAAAGTCTTTGCTTACCCCTATGTCTTCAAGAGTTCTACCTATTCTCTCTTTCAGCAGATTTAGTGTTTGTTTTAATATTTAGATCTTTGATCTATTTTGATTTTAGTTTAGTGCATGGTGAGAGGCATGGATCTAGTTTTAGTCTTTGAAAGGTAGTCTCTTTGATAAATGGTGCCAAGGCTCACTTTCAGTCCTTTGGCCCAAAAGCTCTTTATTTATCCTTCTCTGTCTCATGCTTCCTGCATCTATACCTTTATTTTGGGCAGTGGGAAGATACAAAGAGAGAGGAAGAAAAACAATAGGGTTTTACCACCCTTTTGGAACTGCAAGACCTCGGGGTGGAGAGACACCAGCACTTCAGGTCCCATGTGAGTCCCCATCGTCACTGTCACTACTGGTGCTCCTGGTGCCAGAGGATTGCTTAAGGGGTGCAAGGAAATGGAGAAAAGGACAAAACACAGCAGGTTTCCTCCTACTTAATCTGAGCTTCACAAGACCCTGTTCCTGCTCGACCAGTCATTCCAGGAGGGCTTCTCCTGGTCCTTTCTCTGCCCTTGCAGAGAAGGTGTTCACTTCTGGACTGGGGCTGCACTGAATGTAGGCCAGGGCACACTGGAGGCGAACAGGTGATTAACTCACTGTTCTTTTAGTGGGCCTTCAAAATCTGCTACTTTTCTTTCTTTTCTTTTGGTACCGATGCACTTTCGAGGCAGGTGGCAGCACCACCGAGCTAAATCCCCAGCCCCATGTGCTGCATGTTATTTATGCTTCAGGGACTTAGGAAAGCTGTTCCCTGTATTCTGCCTAGATTTTATAGGCATATTCAGTGTGGTGGACAGGAGAAAGTAGTTGACTCCATCTTACCCAAACCCAGAAACCCTTTATCCCTTTCCATACCTCTTTTAAGAGGGCTATAAAAGACCCACTGGAATCAAAAGATTCATAGATTCTGTAAGTCTGGTGGCAGGGGCTGCGTAGAAGATCCTTCTTTCGGAAAGAGTAGGGGGTGGTAAGCAGGGCAGTAGTTACAGGAGACATATGGGACACACTCTGGGAAACCTTTGCAGAACAAGGAGGACAAAAGTGTGTCATTCTGGCATGAGCTAACTTTAAAAAAGCATCATAAGAAAGCTGCCATGATGAGCTTTTCCTGTAGCTTGCTCAGCTTATAATAAACTTATCTCTGGAAGGCCCAGTGCTCCACCCTAGCAATGAAGGTGTCTGCTTTCAATCCTGGAAGTGTTGGGGTGGTTTGTTATACAGCATCAAGTACCCAGTGTCTACGCATTTCATTCCAGATTGGGAATTTTGGCACATCATACTTGGGGTGACAGTGCCATGATATAGGAGGAGGAACTGTTAAGACCAGATCTGAGCTTTATAAACCAAGCTAAGTGAACCTGTATCAGCTTAGGCCTAATCGTTCCTTTGAAGTCTCCACACTGCCTGAAATAGAGGGGTGGTTACAGAAGGAAGCTGAATTGTTCTGAGTTGAAAGATACTAAATAGATGGTCATGGCAATGCTTGAAGAGGCAACTGTGGTGTGCAATGCCCAAAGGCATGGAATAAATTTGAAGCATGCTTTATATTCAGACAGCCCTGTACACAAAGGTGAGCTTTCCTGGAGAATAAATTAAAGTGTGGTCATCTACACCACCAAAGAACATTCCTGTTAAAACTGGATAAAAGTGTAGGAAAAGGGTTGATGGAAATTATACCAAAATATTAACAGTGGCTATCTCTGGGTGGTGTGCTTATAAATGATCTCTGCTTCTTTAAACATATCAGTATTTCTCAAATGTTGCTTTGGCATTTTTTTTTTTTTTGTACCAGGGATCGAACTCAGGACCTTGCGCTTGTGAGGCAGGCAGCAGAACCACTGAGCTAAATCCCTGGTCCAGCATTTTTTATATACAAGAAAATATACAAAAATGATAGGAATAAAGTCAATCTATCTATTGTACAAGACGGCATGGGTCGGGGTCTCTCGTGGAAAATCATGAAGAATTACTTAGAGAAAAGGGAAGAACCATGGCCAGAGAAGGCTGTTTTGTTGTTCCAGACTGATGAGGTTCCCTTCCCCCGTCCCTGGTACTGGGCATTGAATCCAGGGCCTTTGTTATTGATCAACATTTCCAGCCCTTTACATTTTGGTTTTTTTTAATAAATTTTGTGATAGGGTCTTGCTTAGTTGCCTAGTCTGGCCTTGACCTTGTCACCCTCTGACTTCAGCTTCCCAGAGTGCTGGAATTACAGGCCTGTACCACCAGGCCCAGTCCAATATGTTTTTAGTGGCAGGATTGTATACAATGAAACAGACTTACTTATTTGGTAATTGCAGTTTTAGCACCTTTAATGTGGTAACCAGCCCCAAGACTCTCCAAAACAGTGAACAGCCTTGGTCCAAACTTGTTCTAGGGGAATGTTTCCTGGGATTACCATTCCCCAAATACATTTTGGTTGACTTGGACATAAAGCAGGGTCCACTAAAGGTCAATACAGTCTGTTTCTTGGCCTGGCCTGGGTTCTGGGGACAGGCATACACCTTGTGTCCTGCACACAGAGGCAATGGAATCTGGGGGCACCACTGAGCTTGGGGCCTTCAGCGGTTTGGTACAAGAAGATGTCATCAGGGTGTCTGGGAAAAAAAGTCTCCCCACACCCACAGGGAGCAAGATGGGTCAGACTGGTGCCACCCCCATCCCAGGGAGAACTGGCAAGCTTACTGTGGAGACCTGGTGAGCATCTGGGGGTGACCTCCAGCAGCTGAGGCTGCTCTTTCCTCCTGAGAGGTATCAGGAACATCTTTACTCTTCAGCACTGTTATCAGAAAATGTCTGGGTCCCAGTGGGAAGCTGGTGTCATTTCACAGTGACTCTTACTTAACTGTCACACAGGCAGCTTTGAACTGGAGCAGGAGCCTTAGGAACTTGTCACCGAAATCCTAAAAGGAATGTTTAGCCTTTTCTGTAGAGAGGCAGCATTTCAACATGGTGGACTTCTGACGTGCCTTTCTGCATTTACAATTTATTGAAGTTAGTAAACAAGTTTTTAGTCAAATGCCTCTTGCTTGAGATGTCCCCAGAGAAGTTTTGGGTCTCTCTGAGCTAAGAAGCCCCAAGTTCCTAAACCTTCCAGGCACATAGCTCTCTTGTGACAACAGATCGCAGCCATGCAGCAGACCCCAGCAGGGAGAAGCTGAAAACCCCAGTCATGGGAGGCCCCTTTTCCATTCTCCACTTACTGGGCCCCAGAAGGATCAGCATTGTGCCCACAAGGATGGTCCTTGGTTCTAAGATCAGAATCACTCATCTGGAAACTACAGGGTGATTTAAATGAACTTCATGTCCTGTAACCTCCCCTGTCCTCGCAATGCCAGCTGCTACCTTAATCACCACCAAGATAAACAAAGAGGAAGCCACATTTCTTCCTGCCCTGTTTCCCCTTGGTAAGCCTACTAATAAAAATAAAAATAAAAATAAAGAAATGGTGTAAATGAAATGAGCTGTCCCTAGTTTTAACCTCAAGTAGGGGGCTGAGAAGGAGGAGCTCATGCATTTTGATTCTGTCCTGGCTTTGCCTAACACAGCCTCTCTGGGGGTGTTTCCTCTTTTGCACTTGATTTTTGTGAATGGTTCCCTAACTTTCCTTTTGGGCCTTAGTTAACACTTGGAGAGGGGCTGGGCTAATTGTTTGGTCCACGTCAAAATACTACCCAGTCTTTTTCCCCTCCACTTGGGGGACTGCAAGAAATACCCTGTCTCTAATGGGGCAGCCACCTTGCCTCTGCCTGAGCCCCTGTGCTCAGCAGCAGGTACAGCTCTTGCTTGCTGTGTCCCAACTCTTGCCTCCTGCCGAACCATTTTATCTATGCTGAGACTAAGGATTAAGGTCAAAGAATTAAAAAAGGCTTAACATGTATTTCAGAAGCAGTGTTCTCTCCACCGAGAACCCCAAGAATCAACTGATCTTGCCAGATGTCCTTGATTCTCATGCCAGGAAACTCCCCTCCCACCCTCCACTAAATGCAGGGGCCATGGTAACAGCTTCCTGGGGAGAGGAGGTCAGGAATTCCTTTAATACTGGGTCAAAGAAGGAAGCCAGTGAGCCACAGCTTCTTCTCAGCCAGGAGGAGCTTATTTACACCAAGGAGCAGAGTCAGCAGACTCTAGACTGCAAACCTGTAGACACTTGGCTTCTCGGGAGGCAAGGATTCCCATCACCACATACTGTCCCTACCCCTGGTTGTTAGGAGCCCAGAATTGAAAAGCTGGTGCTTGAATCTCAAGCCCTGCCTCCACTAACTGGCTGTGTGGTCCCTGAGTCATGGGCTTCTCAACTGTAAACAAGTAGTAGTAGTAGTAGTAGTAGTAGTAGTAGTAGTAGTAGTATATTTCGAGGGGTATTGTAGGACTGGAGAGTCACTATGAGTGTCCATAAGCCTCAGCTGTTGCCATCAGCTCTGTGTACACAGCATGGTGTCCAGTGCTCATACACAGCCAAACTATATTCTTGCAGTAGCAAATGCAGGAAGCTGCCATTGTCATCGACCCCATGTTACAAAAGAAGAAACTGAGGCCAAAAGAGGTTTAGTGGCTTGTCAAGAACAGTCAGTAACACAGACAAGAGCTCAAGCCAAGTCTGTCTGATTCTGAGCCTTTGCACTTCCTGCTATACCACACCACTTCCTGAAACATGTACGCACATTTGCACGCACACAAACATCCCATAACACTACATCACATCAGAATGACAAAGAAATGACCAGAGCACAAAATGTTGAACTGTGAACCTCATTACCCAGGGATCCCAAGTATCTCTCAACCAACCTGTTTCCCACTTGAGTACAGGAACTCCATTTTTGTACCTTACCTGAAAGAAACAGCACACAGCTGTGAACACAAAACAGGCACTAGAAGGAAATTCACTGGAATTACACAGAAACTCACAGGGGAAGGTGGAACTGCATGCTGACTCAGTATACATGGTCTATTGACCCAAACACACCATGAATTCCCTACAGCTCAAAATCCTGGCCTCACCCAAAAATGTGTTCTTTGCAGAAAATGAAGGTTCTGATCTCAGGCTAAACATCTCTTAATCTTATCAAGAATATGGTGTGAGTAAAAAGAATGCCATAAGGGCCTTGAGTCCCTCATGTTGCTGCTACAAAACCTGCAAAGTAGAGGCTTTAAAGTGGACATGATCTCGGATTTGGTTTGCTTTCTCTGAGACTTATGAAGGGTTCTGTGTTGGTGGCACCATTTTGGCAAGAGATCGGATATTAATGAAAATCCTAAACCCACTGGCCATCTGAGGATGGAGGAGAGAGGGAAAATGCTCTTTCTATAGTGGGACCAACCAAGGGGTGGTGTCCAGATGTCTTAGGTGGGGGCAGTGCTACAATTTTGCCAAGGTTTCTCCCCCAAGGGTTCATGTGTTGGATGCAGTGAGGTGAAGAGGGTGGAACCTGGTGGCAGACAGGCCCCTCCCCCCTCTAGCTTCCTGGCCTGTCATGTGATCTCAGTCACAGGTGCTCTCCTTCTGATGCCATCTGCCACAAAATTTTGCTCAGAGCCCAGCCAGGTTGGCCCCATGCCCTTGAATCTCTAGAACAGGGAGCCAAATAAATCTTCCTTCTTTATAAAGTACCCAGTCCTGGGTCTTTTGTTATAACAACAGGCAACTGATTAATATGGGGGATATGCTCATGGCCCAAAGCAAATGGGGTTGGGAGTGAGTGAAAAGAAACCATGGTAGTCAGCTTTTCATTGCTGTGACAAATACTTGACATAAATCAATTTAAAAGGAGGAAAGCCTTATTTTGGCTCATGGTTTCAGAGGCTTCAGTCCATGGTCACTTGACAGTGGAGCTTTGGGGCTGTGGTAGCCCAGGACATCATGGCAGGGATGCATAGGTGGAAGTCTTCTCATCCCAGGGCGGCTGGGAAGAAAGAGAGGGAGCAGGGCATGTGGCCAGGGCCCTATATCCCTTTCAAGGGCCACTCCTAGGGGCCCCACTTCCCCTTACCAGGCCTCCCTGAAAACTTCCACCATGTCCCAACAGATGGGTCTTCGGGGACCCCCCCAAGATCCAAACCGTAAGCTGGATATAATCTGGTTTATCTCTAGAGCTTTTGGCCAAGGTGTTTCTGACACACAGATGTTAGGCGACTACTAAGTGTGCAAGTGCCTAATCATGCATCTTCTCTCTTCCTGATAGGCAGTGGAATGGAGAGGTTGGGGCCATGGTGGCTTAGGAGACAGGCATTGAAGGGGATGATGGGAATAACAAGCTTCCCTTTGACTCCAAAGTTACATCAGAATGCAGGTCTTAGTCTGGGCATGCCAGAGAGACTGAATTTGTTGTTGTATGAAGAGAATCCCTTATGGTTTGAGAGGTAAGAGCAGAGTCTAACTTTTTTTTTTTGCCTTGTCTTTTGAGACAAGGTCTCCCTATGTAGTTCAGGCTGGCCTTGAACTCATGGCAATCTTCCTGCCTGAGCCTCTTGAATGCTGGAATTACAGGTGTGTGCTACTAGGCCCAGTGATAGTGTAAGATTAAGGAAGCCCTTATTTAACTTCCCATCATGAGACCTTTCTGAGCTCTGACAAATTTCTCCACCTTGTTCAGCCTTAGTGTCCTCATCTGTAAAACAAGACCAACACCAGGATGCACCTCAAAGAGGGGCGACAGGAGGTCATGCACACCGAGGGATGTAGCTTAATGTGGGGGCATGCACTGGGGCACATAAGAAGCAGTCAGTGAATGCTGGTCACCACTACTTCACATTATTGCTAATAAGAGTATCCTGCAAATGTATTATGGGAAAGCATTATTTTCCCATGGAGTATAATCACATGTAGTGATTAATACTTAAAAAGTTACTTGGTGTACTTTGTGGCTGATTCCCAAAACAACCCCTGTAGAAGGCAGGGCAGACATGACTGCCCTCACGCTGCAGGTGAGAAGACAAAAGCTTAGACACACGAAGCATTCTCAATTCACTAGCTCAGCACTCTGTCCATGGCTTCCTGCAGGAAACCAAGGGAGAAGCATGTAGGGAGAGGTAAGGGAAGCCAGCTTGTCCTGGAGAGAGGGTGGAGAAGTCTGTGTCTCTAGGCCAGTCTACTGCAGTCCCTTCATTCACTTGTTGGGGCCTAAATGGATCATGCACCCTTGCAGGCTGTGACTTGAAGTTTGCAGAGCACTGCAGCCAGGATCCAAGGTTCCTAGCGCCAGGGGACGTCTGTGCTGCAGAATAAGCTGGGGCGTCACTTGCCTCATTGTTTGCTTGAATTTTTATTGTGGGGATTTCAAGCATATAAAAAAGATCAGGTGAGAACAAAATCAGATGAAAGTAGAAGTAAGTTCCCAGGACTAGTCCTTCTCCCACACGAGCCTGACTCTGTTTATACTATTGGCTAATGGCTCCAATTCCAGATTATTTTTTAAAGGAAATATTGGGGGGCGGTTAAAATAATCCAGACTCCCTGATCTGTTGCAGATTTAGATGAGCAGGTGCAGGGTGGCTGATCCCACATAGGAAGCAAGAAGGAATGAGGCTGGAGGGAGAAGACCCATGTCCACCAGGCCTGGGGTGAGAGTGGGGATCCCATGCCTCCAGCCCCGGGCTTTCCTGTCGCCCTCCACCTTGCTGATCTGCAGCATCTGCCTGACCACTCCATCCTCCTGTGCATGGTGCATGGGCGGAAAGTCTCTTACTCAGTTTCCCTGGAGCTGAGCATAGGAACTGCCTACTTGGGCAGATTGTGTGCAGTTGTGATGTTTAGCTATTCTTCACCTTCAAGTTGTCAATGTCATGAGTACCTTGTATCTAGTAGCTGTTCAATAAATGTCCAATGAGGGAATAACATAGACAGGGTTCTAAGACCACCATCATGGCAACTACCAAGCTCCTATCTCTGGTCTCTGGTTGACCCAACTATGGTGCAAAACCTGACACCCCCAATCCATGAGGCGGGTCAGGGGGAACTGAGCCTATGAACAAGAAAGTGCTCAGCACTGTGCTGGGTGGTTGGGACATGCTCAGTAAGGGCTGGTGACAATGATAATTGGTTTACTGGGCACCCCCAGAGTGCTGAGTCCCAGATGGGGATGGCTTCCCTGGTTCCGAGTGCTCTGCAGTTCGCACCCAGTCCTGCAGGTTTTGTAAACTGAGCCAGGGCACAGAGATCCCAGCAGCCAGACCAACTCAGGAGGGGTGGTACAGAGTGGGGAGCATGGCTCCTGCTTACCTCTTGGCTCTATCTTTCTCATCTTCATCCATTAGATTTTCTATGCAGTTTTTCCTGCAAAACAAAACCAAATCCAGATAAATATGGTCTGTGTCTGGGTCTTTCTCACAGCTCTCTGTCATCATCATTTGTCCTATGTAATCGACATCCCTTAGTCCCATAGCTCTCCAACTTTTTGGCCTTAAGACCCCTTTGCACCCTCAAAGTGTACCAATCACCCCTGGGTACGTGGGTCCATATTGGGAAATGCCCCGGTATATACATAAGCACTCTGCCCTCAGGTGCCACAGTGGTGATGTCATGTAGCTTCTAGAAAAATCCACTATAAACTCATGAGAGGAGGGATTTTTTTTGTTATGGTTGTTGCTTTTTTGAAAAGCAAATAGTTCTTATGAAGAAATATTTTGACCTTATAGACTTCAGGGTTCCTCAGAACACACTTTAAGAACTGCTGTGGAGACCCAGCAGTGAAGCAGCTTCCAGAAATCTCATGCCTAATGTCAGCAGGTGCCTCCTGGTGGATGGATGCCTGTGACTGGTGGGTGACACTGCACTGGGCCTCATTCATCCCCTAGCAGGAGGCCAGTCGCCATGGCATCCTAAAGGACAGAGTGTATTTGTTTATCTTCCTATTCAGGTTCACAAAGGCTCTGCCCTGTGGCCAAGAGAAATCACCCCAGAGGGTTATGATCCACAGACCTCACCTGGACACACTTACACTCAGATCCAGGCCCACAGATATGAGATTAAATGACAACCCAGAGATGTTCTCACTGCCTGCATCACCAGGGCCTCCCTCCCTGCCCAGAGCCTCTGTCATCTGAGCTGCAGCACCAGGGCCCTCAGCCCCAATGACCCAGTTTCCCCTCCCACCCCATGCAGCCCTAGGGTCACTCCGCAGAGAACGCCCCTGATTCCTAGAGGCCCGCTGTTACCAGCACACTAAGCAGAAACGTTCCCAGGTGTCATGAGGCCAGAGCTTAGGGGCACTGGAGGTGGAAAGTGGCAGTGGTTGGGAGGCAGTGACTGAGATGGATGGGTGGGGACAGCAGATAAGCTGTGTCACCCTTGTTCCATACTTCATTTTCAACACAGAGCATTTGACGCCAAATCTTCTAAACCTATGCATTCAAGTACACTGGCAATTGTGCTAGAAAGTTGTAGATAATTTTGTGCATGTGTGCATGTGCGTGCGTGCGTGTATGTGTGTGTGTAATCTAGGGCCTTGTGCATGCTATGCAAATGCTCTCCATTGCACTACAGTCCAGCCCTAGGTAACAATGTTAAGGGAGCTTGTTCTGAGGTAATGCAGTCTGTGATTCTCATCACCCACACACACAGGAGGACAGGAGGCTGGAGACCCAGCCTCTGTTCACGTATGGACCTCACTCAGCACATGGCAGTGTACTGGGGACAGACTCACAAGGAATGTGCTCAGCAGCTGTACCACAATTAAAATGGGGTTAACATCTGGAAACAGATAAGTGCTTAATGTCTTCCAGATGCAATCTGCTCAGAGCTTTATGACATGGAAAACAAGGTATCCATTCATTCAGTGATGCCCCACCCGAATCCTGTCCTCCCCAGGGAGGTGGTAGCAGCCTGAGCACCCAGGGTAGGAGTGAGGATCCCCCATGAGCCCTGCTTCCAGCAGCCCCTGAACAGAGTGAGTTCTCCAAGGGCCAGGTGGCCCGAGGTGCTGGGATCCTGTTTGGATGACAGGGGTTGCTTAGTCACAGGATAAACATTGAACAGTGACTAACAGCTATTCTTTATCAAGCCAGTCTTCTCTGATACATATCTGTTTATCCTTAAATAGTTCCTGAATCCATAAATCCTGAATGAGCTACGCCCACTTCCTTTCTTCCCAGCCCCTCCCAGGTCCCTGCCGGATTCCTCCCACTTGAGCCCTATCTGAGCCATTTGGCTGCACTGTTGCCATGTGAGGAGGGAGCGTCTCAGCTCCCAGCAACACCTGCCACAGAAGCGCCATGCCGGCATCTTGTTTTGTCATGACCATGTCTTCTCCATGCATTTTTATTTTACTTTAAAAAATGACAGTGAAATACACATAATAAAATTCACCACTGAAACTATCCAGAAGGTGCCAACCAGAGGCATACAGCACACACAGCTGTGCAGCCATCCCCACCATCTGGCTGTAGAAATCTCTTCATCTTAAAAAACTGAAACTCTCCATTCTGAACCCATAACCCTCCATTCCCCACTCACTCCAGCCCCTGGCAACCACCATGTTACTCTATGTTGCTGTCAATCTGCCTACTCTAGATACCTCACGCAGGTGGCATCATACAGCATTTGTCCCATTGTGGCTGGCTTGTTTCACTTAGCACAGTATCCCCAGTGTTCATCTAAGTCACAGCATGTGTCAGAGTGTCCTTCCTTTTGAAGGCTAAATAATATTCTACCATATACATAGACCACATTTATCCACTCATCTCTTGAAGGACATCTGGGTTGCTTCCATTTCTTGGCATTGCTAATGATGCTGCTGTGAACACGTGGGCACATCCTCCTGTATATTTATTTGTGGGTACCCCTTACCTCATAATATGGAGGGAGTGGAGAGGACCAAAGGCAAACAAGGACTCAAAGGGGGGAAAAGAAGCCCTAGGAGGTCAGGTTAGAGAGATAGCAGAGTTAGGAATAATAACGAAGCTTAGAAATTCAGGCTAAAGGAATGATACAGTTTAGTAATTCCTCTCCTCAAGTGTATAAGAGTTTCCAAGGCGAACATTTTTGAGCAGCTATTTTTGGCCACAGAATGCTAGAGAAGAGAGAATGAGCTTAAACAAAGGAAAAGAAATTCTGTGTGAAGCTGAGATGAGACCTGTTGATGTGGTTAACCCCCAGGGTGAACCATGGAGAGAAGCAGGTCACTGCACCCTAGCTGGATCCCAAGTTCTCAAGGCTAGTGAGTCGGGGACCCAACAGGGGACAGATGGCACCATGAGCACACTGGCAGAAGGGCTGGTTCACAAAGAGCTATATGCAAAGGGGTGAGCAGGGAGAAGGGGACTAAGAAGGGTGCTGTTGTCACCCAGGGTTGGTAATAGCAATGCTAAGGGACAAGAGGGAAGTGGTGTTTCCCAAACCTAAAAGAAGTGTGTCAGAGAGGGGAGGAAGCTTTTAGATGTGGGACACAGCAAAGAAGGGATTCATGGGAGTGAGTTCCTGCCTCTCACCATGTCCCATCCCAGTAAGAAAATATGGAGACAGAGACAGAGACAGAGACAGAGAGGCCGGGGGGCCGGGTTGGGGGGGGAGATCCCATATACCTGGAACTCACTTTTCCCTCTTCTCAGTATCTCCCACTAGTAGGGCACATGGGTTAAGTGAGAATGAACCAATCATACTGACACATGATTATTAAGCAAAGTCCATACTTTCTTGACATTTTCTTAGTTTTTACCTCATGTCTTAGTACTTCCCTTATTGCTGGGACAAAATACCTGACACCCACAATTTAAGGAAGGAGATGTTTATTTTGGCTCAGTCTGTAGACATTTCAGTCCTTGTTGGCTAGCTCCAAGACAGAACAACATGATGAGAGGGTCTGGGCCAAGAAGAGCTGTTTACCTCAAGGCAGATAGGAAGACAAAGAGGAGGAGCCAGGGAGGGAGAGAAAACCTTCCAGGTCAGCCCCCAGTGACTGCCTCTTCTGACCTAACACAAAGTCAGCTCTAAGCCCCCATAAACCAATCACCCTCCACAAGCCCCACCTATGAACCCATGTGGCTCCTGGGGACATGTAGATAGAAACCATAATACCTAACATCCTTTTTCTGTCCCAATTTGTGACATCACATGACATTTTCTTGCCATGTCCCCTTAGGCTTTTCTTGGTCTTGCTAATTCCTCAGACCTGCCCTGTTTTTGAACACCGTGACAATTCTGAGAAGCATTTGTAGAATATTACCCAATCTGGGGCTGTCTGATGTTTTTCTCATGGTCAGTCTAGGCATGTGGGTGTTGGGAGGAATATCCCACGAGAGGTCCTCTGATCTCATTGTACTATCAGTGTGACTGCTCAGGGGGGTTGTGGACATTGGTCTCCTGGCTGAGGGGTCATAAACTTACTTGGAAGCTGTATGTTACTTGTGCTTACATGCAGTATGAGTCGTATGTTTTTCTTCAACTTTCAGATATCCTTTTACAGGTGAAGAACTTCCAGATTTAAAGCAGTAAATCCAATTATTAATCTGAAAAAAAGCACAAATGTACAGTTCTCTCTGTGATTTGAAGACTTTGATGTGTAATTATCTCAGATTAATGATTGGGTCCACTGTCCTACACCTAGAGGTGCTTCACCTGGAAACAGTGAGTGTTTCACTAGAATATGTATCTACCTGCTATTTAAACCAAGTTCTCTTTCCGACTCTGCCACTCCCTGGGCCTGCCTGTCTTTATGCCAGGGGTACAAGGGGTTCATTCCAGCAGTTTCATAGCAATTGTTGACATCAGTGTAGCCTGAGCTTCACTCAGCTTTTCTTCTCTTTCCAGATTACCCTGGCCATTCTCGGTCTTTGCATTTTCATGCAAATTTTGCAATTAGCCTTCTAGTTTCTATAAAGGTGCCTGCTGTGATTTTGATTGCGCTTTCTTTGGACCTAAAAATCAACGTGGGGGAAACTGGCATTAGCAATGCTGGGGGCTCAGGTCTGTGAATGTGGCATCTCTTTGTAGTTGCTTCTCCTTCCAAGCTGTGGTGAGACGGTTAAGTGAGTTCCATGCAGTGGGAACTGTGCCTTCCATGTGTGATGTTCAGTAATGCCACAGATGGTCCCTGAGGGCCAAGACAACCAGAATACTCAGAAGAATGGGGGAAGTGTGGTGTTGGGAGGGCTGTGGTGGTGTGGGGAGTCTTGCTTTGGTGTTTTAGGGGATCACGGAGGGCCTCCTGGAGAAGACACCATTGGAGCTGTGGCTGTGGGAAGCAGGACCAGCTGAGGACACACTGGGGAGCTCTAGACATGAAGAGCCCCTTGACAGCCAGGAGCCAGCATGAAGTGAGCCGTGCATCCTGGGAGACAGCTGCAGTCTGGCTTTTCATCTGGGTGGCATAGGAAGGCTTTGGGGGTTCTGAACAGAGGAGTGACAGGTCCTGGTTTTGGAAGACAGCAGTGGTTCCAAATGAATGTAGGTTTATAAAGCTTGGTCCACGGCAGGCACTCAGAACCAGGATCCTGGCTACTCTGGCGGAAGATTAGCATAATGTATCTTCACCCATTTTGTGACATCCAGCCCAGCTCCTCAGCCATAGCAGGTGCTCAATAAACATATAAGGAATGGAGAAAGGAAGGAGGGAAGGGAGGAAGCAGCCAAAGCCAAACTCCTCTCTGAATCCCTGTGATTGCTTGACTTTCATTCCCACAAACTGTCTGGTGAGCTTGGCGGGTCCAGGGCAACAGCTCTTGTGAATCTATTTGATGTTACAATTTTATCCTCCTGACTTCAGTTAAAGCAAAAACTGGGCAGGAACTGTTGACTAGAGGGAAAGCCACTGGGGCAGGGATGACAGTGGTGCCCAGTGAGTCCCTTGTTGGGCATTGGCCACTGCCAAATTCTGAGAAGGAGAATTCTCATCTTATCTCCATCCAGTTCTGCAGGCTGAGTGTGGCCCTAGTCATCCTCCACTGACCCATCTGGATGCATCACCCCCTGGCAGGTGTGGACTCAGGGACAGAGGGGAACCAGACCCTGCTCAGCTCCTCTTCCCACACTGCCACAGAGGATGGGTGGGTTTCTAAACTCAGAGCTGCCCAATTTAAATTTCCATGCCAACTCACTTGGCCTATGATACTGAGCAAGTCCCTTAAGCACGGACACGTTATTTCTCTCATCGCCAACAAGAGGCCACCTTGCATCAGGCAGGAGGTGTGTGCGCTTGTGCAGCATGGCCAGCCAGGGTGAGTCTCACCCCTACCTCTCCTGACTGTCCTACCCTTTAAATGCATGCTGTGGTCATGAAGCCACTGTTGTGGCAGGTGACACAGGCCTCATACTTTCTTCTTGCCTGTCTTGAATTTCTTTCATCTGTGTACTTTATTTTAAAAAAACTGATCCATAATAATTGTACATATTTATGGGGAACAGTGTGATGTTTTGACATGTGTGCATTGTGTAATGATCATATCAGGGTAATCAGCATATCTATTATCTCATTTGTTTATCCTATCATTGCAGTAGGAACATTTAAAACCTCTCTTCTAGCTATCCTGAGGCACACATTATTGTTAACCACAATCATCTCACTGTGCAACACCAGGATTTCTTCCTCTTATCTCCATATAACTTTGTACCCATTGACCAGCCTTTCCTCACCTTCCCAGCCTCTGGCAATCACCATATTACTCTCCACTTCTATGAGATTAACTGTTTCAGATGCCACACATGAGTGAGATCATATAGCACTTGTCTTTCTGCATCTGGCTTATTTCATTTAACATAATCTCTCCAGACCCTCAAAAGTAGACATACAGTGGATTGACGGGTAAATGAGAAGATGGTCATTCAACAGCACTAGTTATCAGGGAAATGCAAATCAAAGCCACCATAAAATATCATCAACTCCAGCTAGAATGGCTATGATCAAAAGATAAAAAATAACAAAAGCCAGTGAGGATGTGAAGAAAAGAGAACCTTGGCACTGTTGGTGGGAATGTAAGTAAAGTTACTACAGCCATTATGGAAAACAGTATGGCAGTTCTTCAAAAAATTAAAAACAGAACTACCATATAATCTAGCAATCTTACTCTGGAGCATATATCCAAAGGAAGTGAAATCAGTATGTGAAGACATATCTGCACCTGCACTATTCACAACAGCCAAGATTTGGAATCAATGTAAATGTCCAACAATGGATGAGTGAAGAAAGAAAATGTGTCATATATACAAATGGAATACTATTCAGCCATAAAAAGGATGAGATCCTATCTAAAGATGGACCTTCTTTGAATATCCATGAACACATCCTATGCACAGAAGAGGTTGCCATGGGTGAAACAGACATGGACTCTGGGGGTCACACAGACCTAAGATGTGGCAGAAAGACATACATGTACATACATAGTGGTGCTGTCTGGGGGTGGTAGTCCTGCAAGTGGTAGCTCAACAGGAATGCAACAGGCCATTGTGAGGTTGGGAGGGAGGGAGAGGGGGACAGAATAAATGTAGGTAGGAATGCAGGATGTTCTTTGCATAGCAAGTCCTCAGTAAACATGGATTGACTTTAACTGGACTGGAGGCCAAGAGCAAGGCATGGTGATGACATTCACATGACCAGGTAAGACTTCTACCCCAAGGACTCCAGAACACTCTTTCTCACAGCCACTGACTACACAATGGATCAGAGCCCTGGCTCTGGGTGGATGGGGATCAGCGAATGAAAGTGTGACTATTTTCTTGTGCCACATCTTCCCTGGAGTTCACAGGGGTTCTGCAGGAAGACATGAACAAATCATACAGGTGCCAAGGACTCTATAGGGACTGGAAGCTCACTCCTGGGTCTCCAAAGGAGATACCTACAGTATGCACGGAAAGGGCAGGTTCTCCTGCTAAAGTAGGGGTTGGCAACACTTTTCTGTAAAGAGATACCTATTAAAAATTTTAGAAGACATTACAATCTTTGTTACAACTGTTCTATTCTGCCACTGTAGTGCAAAATCAGCCACTGGTGATATGGAATGAATGGGCATGGCTGTGTTTTAATAAAATTTTATTTAACAAAACAAGCCGGGGGCCAGCTTGGATGCCCACACAGTGGTTTGCTGGCCCATATTAAAATATGCTAGATTCGGCGGAACATGCTGAATCAGCCCGCTGCAGACAGGCAGGTCTGTGCACCCGCTACGGAGGTCCTGAGTCCCACGGAAGACG